CTTAAACATATGTTTATATGTTTAGGATTGTATTTCAGATAGTTCCTTCAAATGACACATTGATGAGGCATTAATTCATTATATTTTAACAAAATGCAACTTTTGCACACATTTAAATCAAAACTCTGTACCAGCCTACATTCTCCACATTCCACTTTTGGACTTAATCCTCATTTCAATGTGATGGGTCACATATATATCAAATTTTATTTATTTAGAAGGGACAATGCACATTAATGAACATTTCTGTAAATGTGCCAGAGTTAGCCACAGGCTAATTTTCATCTGTTATCCATGGACTTGCCATAAACAAAATAGTTATACAAAACAGGATAACATAACAATAAAATACAATCAATGCAAATTGCACAAAAAAAAAAAAAAACAACACACTCACATTTTAAACAAAACATGAGCATCATTAAAACTAATGTAAACCTTCATCAAGATGGCTAAAACACAAGTGGTCACATGGTTTAAATTATAGGTAGTTTTTTTCACACTATTGAGATAATTTTTTCTTCCGTACGTTTTTCGGCATCTAACTCGTTCCACATTTTTTGTGCCATTTCAGCAATTCATACATTAAACCATTCAGCTCATTCATATGAGGGGTGCTATGACTTTTGGTGTTTCAGCTTTTTATACTGTTTTAGATATTTCACTTTTTAGTGACATTTTTGCCATAGAAAAATGAATGGAGCTGTTTTCAACATCTTAAAATCCTTTAAAAATATTTCTCTTTACAGCACCTTACGCATTTTTGTTCTGGTTCTGTTCTTTTTCATGTTCTTGTGCTAATTTTAGCTACTTTTTTTTGCAAAATTTAGCATTTATCCTGCTATTTCATCTAGCTATTACAACGTTTTTCAGCTAAGGTTAGCAAGCTTGTGCTCCTTGTGCTTCCTTGTGCTAATTAAACAATTTACAGCCAATTTTTTAGCTGTTTTACTGTAAATTTCAGCTGTTTTAGTTATTTTACTAAAATGATCATGTAGTTTCAACATTTTTTCCTGCTTTTTTTCCTGTTTTAGCTATTTCTCAAGTATAAATATTTCAGCTGGTTGTTAATTTCAAACTGTGGCTACCACCTTTAGCTTTAGGTATAGATTTGCTTCTTTCTGCCATTCTTCTGCCTTTTTTCTACTTTTTATGCTTCTTTCTTACAGACGTTTTCAACTATATTCAGCTAGCCTTTAGCTGTTTTCTATTTTGAACTACATTTGAACTCCTTTTACTGTTTTTCTGCAAAGTTAGGCTTTTTTTTTTTTTTGCTTCTTTTAGCTTTTCAAAGTGAGCTCACATTAACACTTTTCCTATTTTCAAAAGTTCTCAGCTTAAGTTTTCAGCATGGAGCATTCACACTAGCATTTTTGCAAGAAATGCAATCTCTCTAGTTTAACTTTGAGTTTTATTTTGTACAAAATTGCAAGATAGTTATAACATTCCCAGAAATCAATGTACGATATTGCTGTGTAAACTAACAAAATGTTTGGTGTGTCAATTTCTATGTCTTTATCTGAGGAGTTTTGCTTGTTCAGATAAAGATGTGGTGATTTGTAGAAACAGGCTGGTAACAGTGTGACTTCCCCTCCTCTCTCTGTTACATTAGAGTCACTCAGAGGGATGTCTTATCTTTGGCTCTTTCTGTGCCAGCTTTCCTACCTCCAACCTTGCAGCTCAAAAGCTTTACCCTCATATCAGGTTTCACATTCCAGCTCTTTGAAAACCGAATCTTGATTTGTTTTTGGTTCACAAATCAAATGAATTAACTTTCCAAACGTGTCTAAATATATTTACCTACTTATTATCTTGTCAGAACATGGTCGCTAACATGACACCATCTCCCTAAAAAAAAAAAAAACAATTAACACTTTGCCCCGCTATCCAAGCTGTGACATCAAAAGCATTGCTGGAAATGCATTCTCCAGCTGGGATTCAAATCTTTCACCACTCTGTCAGAGGCGGTGATGGAGGGGGGGCAGCGAGAGCTGTGAAAGAGGAGGTGGGAGGGGGAGTCCCACCCTGACACCAGCCTCAGCATTGGCTGGACCAGCGTCAGATTTAGGCGAGCTGTGAGCCAATGAAAAGAGGCGCAGATGCAAACAGAGGAGAAGATCTCACAAAGCGACCGCCGAGGTTTTTTCCCATCAGATCTGCAAACCTCATCTGTGCAGTGGAAGGAGGAAGAGGGGAGAGAAATGGAAGATAAAGTTACAGATTTCTCAGGAAAATGGAGAATGAAGTCCTCGGAAAACTTCGAGGAGCTTCTGAAGGCGTTGGGTGAGTTCATCCATTCAGAGCTTTTCATCATGTTGGTGCATTGTTCTGTTAGTTGTTCTGCTTGGAACGCAAAATCACTCATCACAAGGTTAATTGCGAGTTGCTTGATGGTTTTTCATTCATTAAAAAAACTGCATTGCACTGAAGTCTAATAGGAATGAATAAGATAAAACTGGATTAACTGGATCCGATTTTAGTCACGATTGCATGGAATTGATGGGATTCAGTTTTATTGCAAGTAATTAAGTTTTAGCAGTACCTAATGACTCATGCTGTGAACTGGTGCTTTCCTAATAAAAGCATTTAATTCAAATAAAAAAAAACTGAAAAAGAGGCAAGAAAATAGGATGACTCTCCATCACGAGTTCTTGTCAGCTTCCCAAGTGAAAGTCCACTCAGATTGGAAGGAAACAAAGAACCAAAATCCAGGTCTGAGTTCTTTTTGCAGGAGTAATGGGTCAGGCCTGGGCCATCCGTCGGCATCCTTAATCTAGCCTGTGGACAAATATTGGATTAGACTCATCTAAAGCAGGGTCCGACTCATGTGGTTGTAATTACAGCTAATGTAAACAGAACTAAGCCTTGACATGGGCCCCAGCAGCCATCCGACTCTTGAGCCTGACTTTCCTTCACTGCCTCCCCAAGGGCCAGGCTGTGCATTTTAAGTGTGCGTGTGCCTGTGTGTGTTACCTCCTGTATGTGTCACAGCATGAGCCAGTATGGTCCGAACAAAGCCGAATGAGCAAAAACTTAAGGATAAGTTGCTCATCAGCTCACTCATAGCTTTAGAGCGATGAACGGTTGAAGCTTTGGTTTGAGGGGACTCTCAAAGAACAAAGAGGTACCGGTACTTAAAATCAATCCACAGTGGTCAAACTTTAATAACATAGCAAAAACCTGCAGCCAGAGCAAAATGATTGCAAACCTTTATTTTCCAACCTTTGAATCTTTCTTAAAGCCATCTGTTCTGTTCGTTGCATTTAAAAGATTTATGATTTATCATAAAAACAAGAAAGTTTTATGAGTGTGCTTTCTGACACATGTTGCTCTGAAATGCCTCCAATTTCAATATTTGGTTGAAGCACATGCTATTGCCAGAAGCAGAAAATCAATCATGACAGAACTCCTGTTATTTTACTAACAGTAACAACAAACTGAGAGGGTGTCAGTGTTGGTGTCCTGTGTTTTTCAAACCTGCAAACTAAAAACTGTGATTTTTTGATTTTGTGATGTGGACCAACAGATTGGGTCCTCAGTAAAGGAGGGTGTTGCTTTGGTTGGTCGTGGTAAAGAAAGAGCGGAGTTAAAAGCCAACGCTCTCGATCTACTGGTCTATCTGTTCAATTCAGTTCGGTTTATTTATACAGCGCCAAGTCACAACAAACGTTGTCTCAGGGTACTGTACATAAAAAAGAACAATCTGAAGAAGAAGCCAGCAGGCTGCGTTGAATCACTTCATCACAGTCTCCCATCTTGAGCAAACGTTCCAACCGTCACCTATGATCACGAGGCGTGGATCGTAACCGAAAGAACGAGATCCCGGATAAAAGTGTCCAAAATGAGCTTCCTTCATAGGGTGGCCGGGCTCAGCCTTAGAGATAGAGTGAGGCGCTCCGTCATCCGGGAAGAGCTCGGAGTAGAGCCGCTGCTCCTCCACGTCGAAAGGAGTCAGTTGAGGTGGTTCGGGCATCTGATTAGGATGCCTCCTGGACGCCTCCCTTTAGAGGTGTTCCGGGCACGTCCCACTGGTAGGAGGCCACGGGGAAGACCCAGGACTCGCTGGAGGGATTATGTATCCTCTCTGGCCTGGGAAGGTCTCGGGGTCCCCCAAGCTGGAAAGTTTCTCTGGGAAGAAGGATGTCTGGGTTTTTCTAGACCTGTTGCCTTCGCGACCTGATGGATAAGCAGAAGAAGACGGAGATGTTTTTGCTAACAGATAACTCTCAGAACTGCAATCCTGTGCTGAGAAGTTTGAAGTTATATTGGTGTAAATTTAGGTTTTAATTCTGTTTCTCTTGTGGTTTATAGGAGCTTCCCAAATAAGTATGTTTTCCCATTAGGCACACACTAACAAGCTTAGTGTGGTTAGTGGTTTTTATGTTAGCATTTTTGGTTTTGGTTCATTTAAACTTGAAACTAAGAAATAAATTACTTTTCTGGTTTCGCAGAATTCTTTGTAGCAATGCAACAGCAAAAGCTAGAATGTAGCAGAACACACATAAAAAGCTGAACTTTGTTACTTTCAATGTCTTTTGTTGACTCTCAAATGTTTCAATGAGCCCCAAGCAAAAAGCTAAATTCCAACCATTCCCCAGTTATTGTTAAACTGCCACACGGTACATCTAATATGTGTAAAACTATCAAATATCTTAAGGTACAGAAAGATTCACCACATTAACATGAAAAACCACTGGTGTTCCTGGCTGTGATTACATTCATTCCACTCGTTATAAATCATCCCTCCGCTGCTCCCAGTCTGACGTTTGTTCTGTTTGTGAATCATTAGGCGTTAACGTGTTCCTGAGGAAGATAGCCGTGGCGGCAGCCTCCAGTCCGGCCGTGGAAATCACCCAACAAGAAGAGACGTTCTCCATTAAGACTTCCACCAGCATTCGCACCACTCACGTCTCCTTCACCGTGGGTCAGTCCTTCAGCGAGGCCACAGTGGATGGGCGGCCCTGCACGGTACACCTTTTTTTTCCTCATAAAGATTTTCTGTGTAATGTAACATGCATACCAGAACTTTTCCAAGGACAGGATAACTGGCTGCAGTTCTGTTCAAAAACAACATATGGAAGTTATTTCAGTGCAGAGATCTGTTCCTAATTTCTTTGTGCTGAATGATTGATGTTTATAGTTCCTGACACGCCATAAAAAAGTCACAGATTCTAGCAATTGGCAATGAGCTTCACTTGTGAACAAACCTTAAAAAAATGTAAAAGCTCTTTAGTGATGTAAGTTTTTTTTATTTGATTCCCGTAGAGTTTTCCTAAATGGGAAACAGACCGAAAGATCAGCTGTGAACAGACCTTACAGAAAGGCGACGGGCCTAAAACAGCGTGGACCCGAGAACTGACCAATGATGGAGAGCTCATACTGGTAATTACTTCATATAAAGCATTAATACGCAACTTTACAAAGAATTAAAAAAATACATTTAGCCTGAAAGCTTTAGCAGTATGGTTTTATGTCTCCAAACAGAGATGTAAGTTAAAATATCCATTAAATGTGTAAATGTTAATAAAGCGTGCACGGTTGAGATCATTTTTTTCCCTTCCGTCCACTTTTTGGCTTGTATCTTGTCCCACAGTTTTTGTGCTATTTCAACAAATAAATATTCAACTCATTCAGGACATCCCTGCTAGTACTTCTCAGCAATTTATATTGTTTGAGAATTTTTTTGTCATGTTTTTCTTATTGAAACTGAAGCTGTTTACAACATCCTTAAAACTCTTAAAAATGTTTATAAATCTTTGCTATATTTTTTACCTTTTGCCATTCTGCTAATTTAAACTTTTTTGTGCTTCTTTCTGCTATGCTATTTTAGTTTTTTTATGCTTCTTTCATCTGCTTTCTGCTAATTACAGGACTTGTTGTGTTGACTATTTTTTTTAGCTAATTTTATATTTTTTTCAGCTCAGTTTGACTTTTTGCGATAGTTCAGCTTCTTACTGCTTAATTCAGCAAACATGTGCTCTTTCTGTTTGTGTTTAGCCATTTCAGCTATTTTGTTTTTACCTTTTTCAAGCTACTTTTCAGCTTTTTTAGCTACTCAGCAATCTTTCAGCATAAAGCATTCACACTGCAGTTTCACAGGAAATGCAGATGTTCTAGTTGCATTTGTGACCATATTACCATCAGTAAAATGTATCAGTTCATTTTATGCTAAGTGGAGCTTTTTGGCTGCTAATATAGTGAAAAATATGTTTGATACCAGAAGACAAACCATCACGGTCTTGTTTTCACCTAAGATTTAGGGAACAATGCTGTATTACTTGTAAGTTATTAGTTATTGCTTAAGAACACGGTGAAAATGATGTATAATCACAAAGTGGTTCCAAAAGATAATTTAATTCTTTTTTTATGTTTTCCTTCAGACAATGACTGCCGGTGATGTAGTCTGCACCAGGGTTTATGAGAGGGAATGAGGACATGTTTCCCTTTTGTTCTGTTGTACGAGACTTATTCATGCATGGTTTACATTCACTCTGTTTTTTTTTCCTTCCTCGTCCAAGATTGTTCTTTAGTCCAACGAGCTGAACTCTGCACAGAAGGCAAGTGGCCTTCAACATCAACATGTACTCTTAATGGGTGATTTAGTCATGTCATACATTCCTTATAAGTGTCTTTTACCTGTGCCCTTGTTGTTTTTTAATGGTAATAAACTATTTTATATGAAATCGTTGTTTGTGCCTGTTGTTCCGTTTCTCCACATCTTGTTCTCCATTTGCATTCCATTTTTTTTGTTCTCTGTGTGCACTCTGTCATCAAAGCTCACTACAATACGTACATGATTAGCACACGAAAAGCAAAACTCCTGAAGACAGTTCATATTTTCTAAGCTCTGTAATGAGAGACACTTGGCACGGACGAGGGGAAAACAGGGAGTGGATGGAAAGGAAAACGAGTGAGAGAACATGAGAGCTTGACCATGAGTAAAGTATTTTTTGGCATCGCGGTTTCTGTCTTCCGAGACAGTGTTCATGAAAATCTGTCTCGCTCTACCTTCAGATTTTTCACACAAGTGCGAAGCATACCAGGTCTCTTAGACTCAGCTGTTTACGTGAAGTTAATTTTAAGCTTTAAATTATAGATTTGATAGTCGTCAACATCCATCCTGAAAGCAGCTAAAACTTCACACCCGTGTTCAGTTTGTGTCAAACTTTACCCTCCTGTGATAAATGACCTTTACGGCACTTCCTGATGAGAGTGCGACTGGTTCACAGGCAGTGATGGTTTTTCCAGTTTTTTAAATGACAAACAGACCAGCCCCCCCCTCTGATCTGTTTCCCAGTTTATACACACAGTGCTGAGCAAGCAGCTGCAGCACACTCCTTTTAGGATGAATAGTCTCATTAACATCAGTGGTTAGATCTGCCTGGAGGAGGGAAGTCACTACTGCACTCCATTAACTTAATTTGACCTGCATGGTCAAATAAACGTGTGTGTCATCTTATATAGAAAAGGGTTAATTAAAGTCAGAATTCTGACTTTAAACTCAGAATCTCAGAATTGGAAAGTCTGCATTCTGGAAAAAAAATCAGAAGATTGAAATTAAAGTCAGAATTCTGACATTTTTCTCTTAATTCTGACATTTTTCTTGGATTTTTTCCTCTACATAGTGGGATTAAAATCATAATTCTGACTTTATCTTAAGAATTTTGACTTTAAACTCAGAATATACAAGATTAGAGACTAAATTCTTAGAAAAGAGTCAGAATTTTGAAATACAAGTAAAAGAATTCAGACATTTTTCTTGGAATTTTGACATTTTTCTTAGAATTTGGATTCCAGATGGTGGGATTAACGCCATAATTCTGACTGTTTTCGCTAGGAATTCTGACTTTAAACTCAGAATTCACATGATTAAAGACTAAATTCTGAGAAGAGTCAGAATTTTGCAATTAAACTCACAATTCAGATTTTTTTCTCAGCCATTTGAAGAAAAATCCAGTCAAAAATAAAAAAATACAATAACTTTTAAGGAGTCTTAATTACCCTTTTAACACTATCAGCAAAGCAAAAATAATTTTTGTCAAACAAAATTCTCAATATGTAATAAACCTGATAAATCATATTTAAGCTCAAGACTCTAAAACTTGGTGAAAATCTTTCCAGAACACTTGAAGAAATGTTGCTCAGAGCTATAATCAAAAATATCACAAGAGAGAATTAGAATAGATCCCAAGATGTTTTTAGTCTCAAAGACAGAAAGTGTTTTTGGCGCTTTACTAATATCCTTGTCATTGTGTAAGCACTAAAACCACAGCTCATAAACTGCATCCTGGAAGGAATGGAAACGTTTCTGAGAAAACATCTACTGTAAACAAACATGTGCATCCAAAACCACGAAATTTGACCTAAATGACCCCTTTGAAAAAAAAAAGTCTGTAAGCATCATTGGAGCAGAGTGCAGCAGTCCCCATGTAGGCGGGTCACTTTCCACTCACAACTGTTATGCCAGTTCATTCCTCAGGCAGATATGTCATGGAGCGTTGCATAGCTTGATTGGCCGGGGAGGAATGCTGTGGTTTTAGGACTACGGAGGCACTTGAGTTCAGCGCTCGTTTCTCTGCCAAATTGGACTGACCATCGAAGCGGCAGATGAGTCAGGTGTCAAACAAAAAGCAAGCTTGTTGTTGAAGCAGAGCAGGTTTTATAAAGGATAGCTTTACTTCTTGAGAGTTTGCCATAATAATAAAAAAAAAAAACAATAAAAGCTTACCTGAGGTTTTCAAGGTCAACATCAGTGGTTGAGTCACGTGGTCTTAACTTAGGGTTAAGTTTTCCTCATAAAAAACAGCTTAAAATGACTAATTTGTTGAATCACCAAGATTTTAGTTAGTGGATCATTACAATTTAGGAATAACTTTGTTGAGGACTTCTTTTTTTCATGAGATGAAGAAGAAGTAGGCCTAGGCCCTATAATGTATAGCGCCCATGGCTGCAGCCCGGGGCACCTGCCCCCCATGCATGTGATTCTTGTTTTTGTCTCTCTTGGATGGATTATTCCAAAACGTAATTCCCGTTTGGAATCAATAAAGTATTTTGAACTGAACTGAACTGACTATGAATTGTCTAATCGTAATTTTGAAATCTAAAATGTTGTAATTTAGTAAGTACAAAACAAACTCACTGTGCAAGCTGTTCAGATATTTTAAAAAAATCTATAAAAAAGGCTCAAATAATGTCAAATTGCTGAAGAAGGAAGAGGAAAACAAACCTTCACATCAACATACAGTCTAATTTAGATATAGTACCAAATGTCTACTTGGTGTACTTGTTTAAACGTTCACGACTGTCCTTACCCACGTGTGATCCTTGTCACTTGTAGAAGAAGAAAATAAAAATAAGACTGGATTGTGCATTAGCAGTAGAGCATGAAATGTGTGCAAACTCAAAGTGAAAACGTAATCCTTTCTGCTGTGGCCCAACCAGTGACTCTGGGGTTATTTATGAGAAGATCAACTGTTTTGTGTGGTTTCTGCACACATACTGGCCACAAATGACTCACAGTCCCAATAATTGATTTATGACATAATAAAGTCCAACTTTAAATGAGTATATGTGTAGATATGTCTGAGGTAGCATAGAGAAGTTCTTGTGATAGTGTCTAAAGTTTGTGTTGATGTTTGTTTATTCAGTGTCATTAGAAATAAATATATAACAAATGTTCTTGAAACTTTTGTATTTTCAAGGCTGCAGTTTATAATCCCACTTTTGTTTTGAAAAATCACATCTGACTTCAGAGATGAACAAGTCTGACATCTGCTGGACAAACTGAGAATTACAGCTTCCTTTTTAACCTGTTGACAGCCGCTTAATAAAAGCATCACAGTCACATAAATACAAACATGACAAATACAAATAAAAATATACAGCTTATTATTCTGACTACAATTTGACAGTAAAACATGAATACATGACGGGATTTTTATTATGGCTTGGTATCTGAAAATTATGTGATAGGCCTACTACCTACAAATTTATGATCCAGCATTTCACCAGTATTTTTTTATATTCATAACTTAATGTCCTAAAATTACGACATATTAATCTTTATATATATATTTTAATTATATCATAATTACGAGATGTTGAGTCGTGACTTTTTCTTCAGAGGACCATCAGCTTTATTTTTTGGAATTTTCTACCTGAGTTACTGAGATGCATCAGGACATGCATACTTATTTATGCACATTTTATTTTGCTGTTTTTTTTTTTAATTTATTATTTTTATTATTTTTTATTATTATTATTTACAAGTTACAAGTGCAAAAATAAAATTGTAATTGAGGGACTCTGGTAAACATGACGATAAAAAAAATGAATCAACAGAGAAAAAGACGCTCGGGTTCCGCCCCCTGTTTTTTGTCACGTGACTCTTTACCGCAGCAGAAGTCACATGACCGAGTCTTCGTGGAGCTTTACTTCCTGTTTCCTCTGATGAACGTACTGCGCGAGGAAAATGTGAATTTATTCATTTTCCAGAGACTTCTTAACACCTTAGCACAGTCCCTGACCTTCCTTATTGTTAAAGAATCGAACTGGACTGGAGCTAAAGTTCTTTAACCAGCGAGGAGATGAGCACCGAGCAGCGGGAGCGCGAAGCTAGCTGAGCGGACGCAACACCAGCATTAGCCGCCCTGATTGGATCAGAAACAAAAGCATATTTTTTTACTTTGTAGACTACGTTGGGTTTTTTTTTTCCCTGTTAGATATAACTGGTGCTCTCCTGACGTGAGCTGCCACTACCATGTCACAGTACACAAGCTTTCCAGAACCGATGGAGGACCAGAACCCGTTCCAGGTGGGTCTTTTGCTGGGCGCGTGATTATCACCAGACGTGTTGTTTTTAGCTCACAGCTGCCCTTTTTTCTTATTAAACTCTGCTTCTATCAACATGATCACATGATTAAACCAAGCTTTTAGTAAACGTAGCAACTTGTCAAACGTGATAAATCACTTAAAAAATAAAAGTCTGTTTTTGTTTTGTTTTAGGACCCTGCTGTAGCCCAGCACAGCAGCAACACAGGCTTTGCCACACTGGACCTTTACAACCCCTTTGACAAACCAGCTGGGGTAAGCAAAGATGGCATTCCCAATGATACTTTTAAAGCAGAAACATGTTGCTTTGTGGATTTTGTGCAGTATTTTTGAATCTCCTAGTAGCTTTTTTTATTGCTCTAAAAAATGTCAACACTTTAGATTTTTGCTCAGACTAATGTGGTTTTCCTTTTCGTTTGTTTTTTACCTGAACTTTTTACAGCCTCCCCCACCATATGAAGCCACCTCACCTCCACCTGCGCCTGCGCAAACACCGCCCAGCAGAACAACACCCACCGAACCTCGAAACTACGGCTCTTATAACTCTCAGGTATTTGTGCTGTGGCATTAAATGTGGGGATTTTTGAAGTTAAAAAAAGCACATATTATCATAATTTATGGTCAGTTTGAAGTGTGTTTTTGTGCAAAGCTGGGTGCTAAATCCTCCAAAACTAAAGGGAAAATGCATTCTTAAATGAGTAATGCAAGCGTCTTTATCTTCTTTAAAAACATTTTTAAATTTGACAACACTTCTTGAAAGATGCCTGGTAAATATATTAAAGTGGTATTATGCAAAAACAACTTTTGAGCTTTATATCATGTTCTAATGTCATTCCCTCATCAAAAACATACCCAGAGTGTTGCTTTGACTCATTCATGTATGTTTAAAAAATCCTTGAATTTCCTGTGGTAGCCATTCAGAGGCGCCTAAATGCTTGCTCATACAAAGCACCGCCTATTTTTTTTTTTGTCAAAGTCTTTTTTATTATTTTTAACAAACCACAAACAGAAAACAAACTAACAAAAACACACACCCCTGAGAACCCTCCCATCCCTCCCCACCTATACCGGATCTACTAATAAAACATGAATACTTCTTGTATTCATGTATCAGACAGTACAAGACACAGGTTTGTGTACATGAAACAATATTTGACCTTTACACAAAGTTATCTGCCGAAATTTTTTCCACGTACGATATAAATGGCTGCCAGATGTCAAAGAATTTGTTTACAGATCCCCTAACAGTATATCTAATCTTCTCTAAATGAATGTAAGACATAAATTCTCTTAACCAATGACCATATACTGGAGGATGTGGATCCTTCCATCGAAGAAGAATAAGTCTTCTAGCCAGTAGAGAGCAGAAAGCTAACACCGTCCTCTGATGTTCACTGAGGGAAGCTTCTGCTGGAGCCACCCCAAAGAGAGAGATGAATGGTGATGGATGAACAGTTCGTCCAAATAGTCCTGAAAAGGTATCAAAGATGCCTTGCCAGTATCCATGTAGCTTTGGACAAGACCAGAAGTGTGGCAGGAGATTGTTTACAACGATCACACGACGGATCCAAGTCCTTTTTGAATTTGCACAATCTGTCCTTAGACCAGTGTAGACGATGTACTACCTTGAAATGAACTATAAAATGTTTCACACATACTGAGGACGAATATATATTTTGAATAATTTTTTGCCAAACTGTGTCTGATATGGATTCCTCCAAGTCCATCTCCCACTTGCCCTTCAAAGAATCTAAATTGGAGTAAAGCACCGCCTATTTACTCAAAGCTCCTCCCAGGCGCCTCCCTGACACAGATCCAACAGACTAGCTAAACGTATCTTAAAAGTGGTTAATGTTCATTGCAAAAAAGCTTTATAATGACCTACATTTATAGTTCCTTCGCAAAAAGTAGCTAAACATTGAAGCCTATGTATGAGAGAATGAGTGTCTTGTAAGAGACCCTCTGTACCCGCTCCAGTTCTTCAGAGAACATACTTTCTGGGTCCAATTCGAGTAAGGTTCAACTGTATTCTGAGATGCCATTTTCCCAAAACTGATAGTACAGTGTATAATATTGCTTCTTTTTTTACAATAAAATACAACACTCCCATGAAAGGTCGCAGACGTCTTGAAGCATTCTTGTGAAAACGTGCTGCAATGGGAGTGTTGGAAACAGTAGGAGGTTCTTAATGAGACAGAGGCCAATTTTATGGCACATAGATACGGCTATGATCCAAATTCAAATTTATTTTGATATATAAAGCATTTTAATAACAACTAAAGGTATCATAGTTACTTGATTGTGGTATAGAACTAAACTGTCTGGAAAATACAAAATATTCCCATTTTTAATTTTACATAGTCACTTTTATCCGACACAAAGGTGACCGGTGATGTACAGTTATGACAGCTCAAATACAGTATCTGCTGTCTGATTTGTCAGCCCGCAGTGAACGCAACTACAGCCGAGCTCCTGAGGAAGCAGGAGGAGCTGGAGAGGAAAGCCCAGGAGCTGGAGAGGAGGGAGCGAGAGCTGCAGTCTCACAGCCTCGGACCTGGAGCCAGTAAGAACCAGCAGAGAGGACTGGAATAAAGATTTAGAAGGAAATTTAGGATTGATATTTCCATCTTTCTCCACTTCTAAATTTAATTAGTTTTGTGTGTTTAACAGTAGACTTTTCTTATCAGATATCTGTATTTATCCAGTAATATAAAACTAAATAACTAACTTCCCTCAACTTTTTTTTCTTTTCTTCAGCTCGTCAGAACAACTGGCCCCCGCTGCCTTCTTTCTGTCCTGTGGGGCCCTGCTTCTACCAAGACATCAATGTGGAGATCAGCCAACGCTTCCAGCGCATCGTGTCCATCATGTATTACTTCTGGCTGTGTGAGTCCCCATCACCGGAGCGTCTACATCACACTCACACTTTAATGAACTGCTGCTGCTCTGTGGCATTTTGGGAGTCGGATTAACTGACTCGACTAAAAGTGAAGCTGACTCTAAAATCATTACCCGACAGCTCCTGTAGGGGATGGCTCGTGTCTCTGTGACTTCTATTGCTGGATGCAAGAGCTTGTTTTTACAAAGCCTGAGACTCCACTGCTAGACTGTCTTAAGCCGGGTTCCCACCAAACGCGTTTTGAGCAGCCAAGATGCTCCTGCCGCATGCGTTTGGCTGCTTGTCAACAGCTGTCCATTCACACCGAATGCGTCTGAAGACACGCAATGGGAGGAGCGTCTTTGTTCGTTTTCGGGTCTGTTGACGTTTGAAATAAAGATAAATACAATAGCTTTGCTTTATTTACTTAAGAGCAAGCGAACTTGCGCACAGCAGATAATTAATTCACCAGATAATTTAGAGGAGCTCTGATGGACTTTTTTTTTCCAGACCGGGACCAGATTGTCCTTAATGACGGGTGAAATAAAGATAAAATAAATAAAACGGGTTTGTTTTATTTACTAAAGAGCAAGCAAACTTGCACACAGCAGATAATTAATTCACCAAATAATTTAGAGGTGGTTTAGTTTGGCCACTCCAGGAGCTGCGAACTGAGGGACCTTTTATTTATTATTTGTCCCGAGCTCAGGGAGCTGCTGTCTCATCACGTCGGTGCTGATTATCTCCACCCAGAACACCAACTGCAGACGGTCGATTTCAGCTAAAGGCTCCTGTCCGTGTCGGGTTCGTGAAACCGTCACGTGGAAAAAAATTCTCTCCCGATTGGTTGCTGCTGCGCGTCGAACAGCCAAAGTTCAATTTGTTTAACTCCAGCAGCCGCTTCTTTGGACCTTGACGCATGTGCGGAAAATGCTCTGCCGCATCCTACCGCTACGTTGCGCGCTGCTTTGAACTGCCAAAACGCGCCGCAACACGCTGCACTGCTCCTAGATATGCGGCCACCATAGACTTTGCATGTAAACTGGCTGCTTTTGCTGCTCCAAATGCGTTTGGTGTGTACCCAGCTTTATAGGGCACTCTCTATTTCAGTTGCTGTTGTAAGTGGCTTCATACTTACCATCAATTAAAGCTCAGTTAAGAGTGTTTACTAATGCACATGTAGGCTAAATTTAAGCTTGAACCTTGATACAGATTGAAAGAAAAATTAACAAATTGCATAAAAAAGTGAGAAGTGGTTTAGATCCAGGGTTTGTTGTTGTGTTTTTTTGTATTTATCCTTCCTCTCAGTGACAGCATTTTTTTAAATATAATTTCTCTGGTTTGTAGTCTGCACCTTCACGCTTTGCTTCAACCTGATCTCCTTAATGGCCTACTTCTGTAAGGACACCACCAACGGTTCTGGCTTTGGCCTCGCCATCCTCTGGGCCATCCTCTTCACCCCCTGTTCCTTCGTCTGTTGGTATCGACCCGTTTACAAAGCCTTCAGGTGTTTACTGTCATCTCATGCTGATTTTCATTTGTTTCAGTTATGATGTCACTAAATTTACCTGATGTAAAACTTGGCCGTACTTTTTTTCTCTCTCTCTCCTATAGGAGTGACAGCTCCTTCAACTTCTTCTTCTTCTTTTTCGTTTTCTTTGCCCAAGTGGGCCTCTTTGTCTTCATGACCATTGGCATCCCGGGGTCAGGATTCAGGTGACTGATAAATACACAAGTTATTTTATTTGTATTCTTATAATCTGTGACGTGGGACTTTAAACTTGTAGTGTGGGTTTTGTTGTTAAATACATCATTACATCTTCACCTTCTTTTTCTGTCAGTGGTTGGATAGTAAGCCTGGCTGCTTTGAGTAAAAGTACGGCTGTTGGAGCAATAATGATTATAAACGCCATCTGCTTTAGTGCCCAAACCGCCATGGGGGTTGTCCTCATGAAAAAGGTGAGTTTTTTTTCTTGTTCTTTATGTAAAAAAAATTCACAGGAAGTTGCATAAATTTAAACATAAGTATTTTCAGTCATTTATGAACAAAACAGAATATGCAGAACTTTACCATTAATAACAGAGCTCTGAGTGCAGAAACAAGTAAATAAAAGCCACAATATCAGGTTGTGGGTATCGCTTTCTTCCTTGCAGTGTTCAGAATATAATGATAAATTGATACACGTATCAGGTGTCAACATACTGTGCTCCCCTTTGCCTCAGATCCACAGCCTGTACAGGCAAACCGATGCCAGCTTCCAGAAGGCTCAGGCTGAGTTCGCCACCGGAGTCATGTCCAATCAGGCCGTACGCCAAGCAGCTGCCTCTGCTGCCCAGGGGGCCTTCACCGCACCTCGATAGAGATGGACCCACTGGCCGCGGAGGGACGAGGATGCTGCTTTCAGCCTGACGGAGAATCATTTTTAAAAGGAGCCAAGTCTATTTAATAACCCTCGGGGCACTTTGCAATCATACGTGACAAACTGCCAAACAGAAATAACCAAATTGTAAAGACTGATTGTAAAACCCTCTGAGGTGGTGTAGTCCTAAAAAAAAGAGTCAGTGAATTCAGGATAATGCTACTATTTTGGGCAGGACTTGCTCGTGTATACACTTGTTAAAAAAAGAATTGGGACCTGTGTTTTTCTGAAAGTTAAAAAATATGCGATCCTTAGTTGATGGGTCTTTAAGATGGCTTTTTTTTTTTGCTTGTGTGTGAACTAACAAGTAATTTTATTAATAAAATTAAGGACTTAACTGCATTGCCAAAAAATTTAACATTGTAAAAAATATGAATTATTTGAAGTATCGATTGTTTTGTTCGGTGTGTATTGTAATAGTTAGCATTACAACTTTTTTTGTATTACAAAACTGTCATGCTTTCACAGTTTGCTGCTGTTATTGATTTATCTCAATGTCAAAATAAACATTTTAGAATTATTTCGTATTGAATGTTTTGATCTCAGTACATGGTAAATAAGCCAATATTGCCCAACCCTAGGCAGGACTCGAGGAACAGGAGAGGCAGGTGATGTGAGGAAAGGGCCCACAGCTCTATAAAGCTCATCTTCTCATGTCAGATCAGCTGCTTCTAAATAAAACTCTTCATGTGAACTGCAGTCGTAGCGTGCTGCTTCAATGCTTGTCATTCACGCATCTCTGCCAAGGACGTTTTTGACTAATGTAACTGTTTTTTTTTTTTTACGCCACGCCACTTCTGTAAGGATCTTTGACAAGATTCAGAAGTTTTTTGTTTTTGTTGCTCCACTGTTCCACAAGGCAGTTTTCTGAATGACTGACTTTGATGTGAGCTAATTCACCACTCAGCTGTTAAAATGACAGAATCTCAGAGTTATGGAGAAAGTACAACAGGTTCAGTGTTGCATCGACTTTTTTACCAAGATAAAGCTGTTGTTAAACCTTTTCTGTTATTTTGTTTTGCTTAATAACATGATAATCCAAGTTGAATAACCATGTTGATGAAGCACCTTGTATACAGCGGGTAAAATAAGTATTGAACACGTCACCATTTTTCTCAGTAAATATATTACTAGAGGTGCTAATGACATGAAATTTTCACCAGATGTCCGTAACAACCCAAGTGATCCACAAAGAAATCAAACCATAAATGTCCAGAAATGAAGTTATTTGTAATAATGTGGAATGGCACAGGGAAGAAGTATTGAACACATGAAGAAAGGGAGGTGTAAAAAGGCATGGAAAGCCAAGACACCAGCTGAACTCTCTCAGTAATTAGAAATCAAGCCTGCCCCTTGTCAGTGCAAGTTAATATCAGCTGGTTCAGTCCCAAATGATGGCCAGGTATCACACAAGAACCGTGATGATGGGTAAAAGTAAAGAGCTCTCTCAAGACCTTCACAACCTTATTGTTGCAAAGCATAATGATGGCATCGGTTACAGAAGAATGTCTATGGAGAGCTTCAGAAAGACCTGGAATTAGCAGGTACGATTGTTTCAAAGAAAACAATAAATAATGCACTGAACCACCATGGCCTGTATGCACGCTCACCATGTAAGACTCCACTGCTGAAGAAACAGCATGTTGAAGCTCCTTTAAAGTTTGCTGCACAACATTTAAACAAGCCTGTGTAATACTGGGAGAATATAGTCTGGTCAGATGAGACCAACATTGAACTGTTTGGATGCCAGAATACACATCATGTTTGGAGGTCAAATGGCACTGCACATCAGCCCAAAAACACCATACCAACAGTGAAGTTTGGAGGTGGGAACATCATGGTGTGGGGCTGTTTTTCAGCATATGGTACTGGCAAACTTCAAATAATTGAAGGAAGGATGAGTGGAAAAATGTACAGAGACATTCTTGATAAAAATCTGCTTCCATCTACCAGGATGATGAAGATGAAACGTGGCTGGACATTTCAGCAAGACAATGAGCCCAAACACAAAGCCAAGGAAACTCTCAGTTGGTTTCAGAGAAAGAAACTAAACGGTAAATGGTACTGAACCTATAGAGCGCTTTTCAAGTCCCTCCGGACCCCAAAGCGCTTTACACTAACAGACATTCACCCATTCACACTCACATTCACACACTGATGATGGCAAACTACACTGTAGCCACAGCTGCCCTGGGGCACACTGACAGAGGTGGGGCTGCCATACATCGGCACCACCGGACCCTCTGACCACCATCAGTAGGCAAGGTGGGTGAAGTGTCTTGCCCAAGGACACAACAACTGAGACGGCTGGACTGGGGATCGAACCAGCGACATTCTGGTTCCAGGACAACTCACCTAACCACTCCGCCACAGCCGCCTAAAGCTGCTGGAATGGCCCAGCCAATCACCTGACCTGAATCCAACAGAAAATCTATGGAAAGAACTAAAGATCAGAGTTCATAGAAGAGGTCCACGAAACCTTCAAGATTTGAAGACTGTTTGTGTGGAAGAATGGGCCAAAATCACACCTGAGCAATGCATGCCACTAGTTTCTCCATACAGGAGGCGTCTTGAAGCTGTCATTGACAACAAAGGCTTTTGTACAAAGTATTAGATAAATTTCAGTAAGTGTGCAATACTTTTTCCCTGTGCCATTCCACATTATTACAAATAACTTCATTTCTGGACATTTATGGATTTCTTTGTATGTATGGATCACTTGGGTTGTTACCAACATCTGGTGAAAATTTCATGTCATTAGCACCTCTAGTAATATATTTACTGAGAAAAATGATGACGTGTTCAATATTTATTTATATTTATATGGACATTTTAAGTTCTGTTTTTACTAAACATATAAATGTTCATTGGTTTGAGATCTCAAGAGTAAAATGATTGCATTTTGTTTCCTTTGAATATTAAAATAACATTTTCCTTTGTAACTAATAATAAAACTGCCTCTTGAAACTAAAGATTCGTATTGATAATTAATATAAAAACATATATGTATACTGTGCGAAGGGATCAAACCACTTCTAATTTCTGTGGTTTTGATCAATAGTTCTCCAGGTATTTTTTTTTTTTGAAGGGCTTTCAAAGTTTTTCTTTTATGTTTCTTTGGGCTTTGGTTGTTCTCTCACTTATTTTCAATTTAGTCCCTGTCCTTGACCATGACAGCTTATTGTGTAGGGCGTGCTTTAAAAACAAACGTGAGAAAAATGAACAAGCGGAGAAGAAAAGAAGCATCAAAGCTTACCTGCAGGAGAAGAACAGCATCTGAAAGTCACATCTTTAAGAAAAACAAACACAAATCCATCAAACTGGAGAGTCATGCATGCAACTTCATGATTTTGTCTCTTGTGTCAAAAAGTATGAACATAGGTGCCATTTTTTAAAGCTGTATTCAAACTGTTGATCTTCATAAGATGTAATTTTACCTGAACATGATTATTGGTTTAATTTTTATCATGTAGTTCTTACATTTAACCGCTGCCTATAAATTATTTATTATCCATTATCATGATTGTTTGTATGTTGCCTACAGCTTTAACTCTGGCAGAGTAAAGGAATAACAATGGTTTATTAATAGGCTTTTTGAGCTCCATTGGCTTCAGTGTCCTGTTTACACTGTAACATAACGTTGACGCACAGTGGTCCAAACAGGCTACAGCGGACTGTTTCACACCGGGGAACACACCCTGAAACCGACCCTCAGAGGAACCTCTTCACGGAAACCGAAAATAGCGAAATAAGAAAGCAGAGACTTGTTTTGTCATTGACCAAGGACCGCAGGAACCGCGCACAACAGACATTTCCACTCCTCTCCTCGTCTCCCCTTCCCTCGCTCCATATACATCTGGTATGGCTAGCCGGTTTATCATATAATAGACAAGCTCTTCAATGCAGATGTCCACAGTTGCATCACCTGGTCAAAATGGACACTTTATTTATAGAGATAAATTTGTCTCAAAGATATTCACAAATGCAGAAATGTACACAGTTTAAAGTGCACAAATTGGAATGTGTTATGCATTTGAACTGGTAAATGTGCATGTGCAAATTTCTTGCTGTATTGTTTATTATTTATTTGTAGAGTACACAAATCCTGGATTTCACAGGGATAATTTTCTCAGAGCAAAAAATTGTGAAAAATGAAAATATTGTGTGTGGTTTAAAAAAAAGAGCAATTGTTTTGCAAATACAAGGAATTTTCTTTGGGGTGCCGTTCTGCAATTTTGCTTGCGTTCAGTGTAGCAAAGCCTTCTTTATATTCCAGATTCCCAAATGTAATGCTACGTTCAAGGCTTGTGAAAAGCTGGGAAATCATTTGATTTGTATTTTGTTGTGTGTAAATGTGTTTTTTTTTAAATGAAATGAATAAAGTTAATAAAATATTTTAAATCTGCCCATAGCTATTGACATGGTACTTCAAAACGTTTCAGCAAATAAAGAATAGGGTTTGTAAAAGAATCCATGAATGTAAACAGATTTGTGTTAGAGAAGGTCCACTTTGCGTTACCACGTTTTTGAGTGAGTGATACACAGATTTTTCTGTACCAGTTTGGATTTTTGTGTACATCACCAACCCTGATGAATTATTATATTTACCTCTAAACAATCATTTAATAATATAGAAATTCACATCAAAAACATTGTAAAGTATGCTGTTTGACAGTTTTCATGCTTTAAATGAAGATTAAATTTATATTTGTTACCACTCAGAGTACGTGTTGGGTATGACTGTTGGCTACAACCACACCAAATTTAGCTAAATGTGTGTAAAATTGATTGAGGTATTGTCATTTTTTTGTAGTTGATTAGGTGTGGTGGCCATCTTGAATCAGATTGACTCCAAAAGGCAAGTGGTTGGGATAGTTGTAGAAATTCATCTAGTAATTTGAAATATTTGGGTAGAAGATCATGCATATAAGACTGATAATAAAGGTTCATAAAAGTGTAAATAAATAGTTCATTACCATACCTGTCACTACTTTTGATGCATTATGCTGCGTTCACACCGAATGCGATTTCAGCTTCAAAATCGCAGCCAACGCTCAAGTTGGTCGCTTGTGAACTTTGAGGTCAGACGCAGGTCAGCTCTTGAAGTGCTGCACGGCAACAGCCTCCCCGCCCCTCCCTCCTCTGTCAGGCTCTGTTTAATGTCGGACGAGGAAGTGGCTTTGCTTTATTTACAGAGAGCAAGAGCATGTCACGTTCATCAGATAATTAATTCATAATTAATTCACCAGATAATTCAGAGTAGAGGCTCACAGCTCGCTTTCAGGACTATTTTTCCAGTCTGATGAGTCGCTGCCACGCATTGGTGCGGATATCTCTGTCAGGACACCGACTGCAGGCACTCGATTTCAGCTAAAGAGCTCCTCTCCATCTGCTTCAGGTTAGTGGACATCATTCAGTAAACTGTCCCGTCAGGAAATATGTCGCTACGTCACACAGTGGAGTCTCTCTGATTGGTTGACGCGGCGTGTCGAGCTGCAAAAGTTCAGATTTTCTAACTTCAGTGATTTGCGCCTCAGCGCGTCGAACGCTCAGATCGTTCAAATCGCGCTGCTCTAATCGCGCTTGAGGCGCCGCAGCACTTCCCGACGTTGCTTGAAGCGCGTCCACCATAGACTTTGCATGTAAACCTGAGGCTCCTGATGCTGAAATCGTGTTCGGTGTGAACGCACCATTAGGCAGCTATTTGATTTAAAAGTATCAGCTGATGAGAAATCTTAAATTTTCTAGGTTAGAATAATGGCAGTTGATTTTAAATTCTCAAAAGGAATATCCAACTTTTCAACTAGAAATGGAACCAGTATTATTACTTTAAAAAATTGGCACTCTGTGTGGTTTGATTATATGTCACACCGGCCTGCCATACAACCCATACCCGTGTTGTACAGAGACAGTAGAGATACAGGCTGAGCAGACATGGAGGCCCGATTAACGAGAGAGGCCCGTGCTGACACATCCAGGCCCAGTTAATGGCGAGTCGTTGTGGATTTTACAGCATCTCCGGAGATATTACGGATCCTAGTTACTGAAAGGAATAATGGTTTAAGCCGCAAGGAAGAAGAAATACAGGAGAGATCCATTTCAGGTCTGTTGATTCAACGCAGCCGCCATTTTGTTGACAGTGTTATTTTTAATAACCTACACGGCGCAGCATCTGTTATTCTCTATCACGGGGATATAATTTGCCACATTGTTTTTTTTTTATTTAAATGCTGTATTTTTTTTATCGGACGTAAACTTGGGTTTGTATTTTTGAAACGGCGTCGGAACATTTTTTTTTTTCTGGTTTAGCTTTCTTGCATCGTTAGCCGTCGTAGCTGAGATGTAGTAACACGAGTGCTTCATACGAGAACGGAGAGATGCAAGAATATGCACATCTTTTATTCCTAGTTGTGACATTTTTTCTTTCGATTGCTGCAAAATCTCCTTAAAACTGCGGCCATTTTATGCTCGTTTATTCACTCAAAAAACGTGTAAGTTCATGCTTCGCTGGGCGAAATGAGCCTTAATCGCTTTTAAACGTGCTTCTCTGCCAGTGCCACACATAATCATGTTGCACGAGCTGTCTTTTATTATTAGCTAGCAGCGTGTTACAAAACAAATGAAACTCTTTTATTTTGGTGGGGTTGAAATGAGTGCAAAATAGCCCAAAGCTGAGCTATTTTTATCTTTTTATTATCTGTTATCTTTTAACACCGTGTCCGCTACTATCCTGATTTATGAATATACATTTTTAGAGCAATGCTCTAACATGTTGCCACCCCAGCTTCCACCATCGCAACTTTTATGTTTCAGAGCGGCCAATGTCAGCTTTTATAGGGTCGCAAGATTAATTTAGAACCGTACCAAAACAACCTAAACATTGTTTGAATCCCAGCGACGTCTCATATTATTATATATTATATTAGTTAACTTGTAACTATCAGCTTAGGATGTTCAGATCTGATCATGTTTTGGTTTTGGCATTTCAGCATTTGGAGGATTTAAAAGAAAAATGAAAAATATGTGGCCACCACGTTGATACACATGGAAAACAGGACACAGAGCCGAATAATGTGAACACCGTTTTCTGGACTGTTTCAGAGGTGAGTGTTGAAAATAATAAAAACATATTTATTTTTGTCATCATGACCTAATTTGTGTGTTAACGCACCACCAAATCATTTCCTCCGTTGTGTCCAATGAAGACTGTAAGGATGTTTTTTTTTTTCTCTCAAGATGAAGATGCGTTATTATTGCTATGAGTAAACGATGAGTAGCTGCTCAGAAAATTGAGGGTGATCGGTTAGCAGAAAAACAGGAGGTGGTCCTATGAGAGCTTGTGTTGACTGTGCAGGAAACCAAATGCAGATAAAACTAATTTGGCTTCTTTGCTGGTCAGCCCCGTTCTTTCATTCCCTAACAGAAAAGTGGAAACTACCTAATTACAGTTGTTAAAACGGTTGTTTTCAGTTTCTTTATAAGCTGTAATGAACGCCTATGTGCTGCTGCAGAGCTGGTTCTTGATTGACACCTGTCACCTCTCTCCATTCCAGCCTTGATCTACTGTTTTCCAAAATCGTAGCCTCTTCTGCTCTTTAAGTTAACCTTCTGTTACAGGTATACGGTGCTGGGGTTATGAGGTGAAAGAAAACATCAGCGGTAATAAAGGAATTTGGCTGTTTTCGTTGTCTGATCGAGGTTCTGGATCGCGGCGTAAAAAGCCCTGAAAATGACAGGGAGCTCTCGGGACAAGCGCCAGCCCCTCATGAATGATCTGGAGAGGAGGAGGTGGGGGAGTGGGGGTGGGAGAGTATTGCTGTGGCCAAAGGGAAATCAGTAGTTATGAACAACGTGTGCAAAAGCGAGGAAGGAGGGAGAGAGGTTGGGAGTAAGAGTAGGATAGAAATGGGAGGGGGCCCGGGAAGTTGTTTACTACGTTCCTCCATGCTCTGTCTTTTTTTTTTTCTTTTTTTTTTTTCTGGTTCTGGGCCTGATACTATGACTTTTCTGGTATGTCTAGTATGCTTTAAGATTTTATAAACACTTATTTCTATTTTAATTCTTGACCATCGCTTAGACGGACAAAGCACAGAGTCGTTAGGGTGACTAATTTCAGTCCTGAAAAACCAGTAGCGTTGTTATTGTGTTGTTTTGTGGTATGACTGGTTATGAAAGTACGTTTTTTTGTCCTTATTGCGTTGCGTATACAAAAGTACCTTGATTTGCTTTGAAGTGGATTATCAATCTGAAAGACCGAATCATCCTCGGAAAAAAAAAAAAAAACCACTCGCTGTTGACTTAGAAAGAACCGTTTTGACTCTCTGGCAGTTTTGTCGCCGACCTTATGTCAGCCGGGCACCGCTGTGGCTTATTTTTGGCATAGCTGCAGTCAGGCAGCCCGTATCACTGCAAGTGTTTAGTATGAAAGAATGAGGGGAACATTTGTCACAGTGTGCAAGGAGGACGCAGAGAACATATTCAGTCGGGGTGGGTGATGGGTGAAATGTGTTTTTGATTAAAGTTGGAACACAGCAAATTTAGTTTGTGTGCTGTTACCAGGAGCTTCCAGGTTTGCGAAAGAGAAGAGCAGGAGAAAGCTTTACAAAAACACCAAAGGAGGGCAGAGATTGATTGGGTGTAAAAGAAAAAGGGGAGGTGTGATTTGAGCAAAGAAAACACTGAAAGGTGAGTGTCAGAAAACTTCAGGCTCGAGCCCAAAAGTTTCACTGCTTTTACGCGGTTCAACAGAAAAGCACTTCTGTTTTTGAAAGTCATAATCCAAAACAAGCGTGTAATATTTCATGTTCAGAATATTAATTTCTTCCTTTTGCTTTGGATGCATTACAGACGTGCTGACTTGTATGACTTTACAGAAGCTCCATTAGATACCTCTTTTAGTGATCTTTATTAATGTAGAGTACAGCAAAACCGCTGGCACGTTGATGCTTAATCGCTCGCTCGCTCGCTCACTCACAGTTGCTGCTGTTGGAGGCTGGGAAAGGCAGCCGGATCGTCTGTGTAGTCCCAGAGGGACATAATGTGCTGAGGTCACAGTTCTGAATTGCCTCCAAATGACTTCACAAAGAGAAAGCACCTGCTTAGGGGCGAATCCGCATTAAATCACTCAGTTGCTATAGGGAGCTGTAGACAACTTCATTGAATTGGGCTGCCCTCTATGGAGCACAATTAAGAAGCATTCTGCTGTCGGTTGCTGTGCTGAAACAGGGTATGATGCTTAAGCAGTTGCTCCTTCGTTTAAGGCCATGGCAGTGCTGTGGGATTAACTATTGACTCTGGACCATGCAGGGTCTGTAAATTGCAGGTGTATAATCAATGGGCCTCATGCAAGAACCGTTCGTACGCACAGATTTGTTCTTAAATTGTGCGTACGAGTGATTTAGGAGAATTTGTGACATTCACCAATGTTTTCGTATTCTAAGATTTTCTTCAGATACGAACAAAATTCACGAGTGGTCCAGACCTGCCGTATATTTTACGTACAATCAGTCTGCTGTTATCCAGACGGGTTTTCTTCACTAATAACTTTATATTTCGTTAGTTTGAAGATAWTTTGAGTTGAAAATAAATCACACTCCATAATTATGTTGACAATAGGCTATTCTGCTTGAATTAGAGTTATAATTTTAAATGTAATAATTTAGACTAACAATATAAATTGTCCATCCGGCCGGCTTATCCGCTATCGGGTGCGGCAGGGGGACAGCAGGAGACCCCGCTCTCTCCGCAGCGACACTTTCCAGCTCGTCCTGGGGGACTCTGAGACGTTCCCAGACCAGAGGGGATAGATAATCCCTCCAGTAAGTCCTGGGTTTTCTCCAAAGTGCCAGACATATTTTGAAAACATTTTAAAATGCTTATTTCAAACCCGCATCTGAGACCACCGCAGCGCGACGGGGGGGGGTGCACGGTGCGCAGCACTGCGGCTTCTGAATAAATGAAAATGATTTAACACAGTTGTTTATACTTTTAGCAGCTCTTTTTATTCCACAGCTGACCTGCTAAAAATGACAGATTTTCTTTTCTGGATCTCTGACAGACGGACTTCAATCTCTGAACTCGTAAAGTTCTTTTTAGTTTTCGCTGTAATTTTCATGAATGAATGGACACTTCCTTGTATCTGAGGCAGGAAACACAGCCTTATATGGTGTTTTTGGGGTGGTAATTATGCTAATCTCCTCTCGCGTGCACGAGCAGCTGGATAGAACAGGTGGAATTTACGCAGCTCATTTACGCACTTTTCCTGAAGGTAGAAGAGTTTGTTGAATCTGACGTGATATGTTCGTACGAACCCTTTGTACGAACAAAAGTAAGAGAAATTTAGGATAAGAATACGAACATGTTCTTGCATGAGGTCCAAAGGCTCTATGTCTAAAGATACATTTCACAGAGAGGAGCACCTTGGCTGTGTAAGTGGGTCACATTTTTATATAGACTGCGAGTAGAGGACATGGTAAAAATAGTTTGGAAGAGATGAACAGTGTTTAATTACCTCCATCAACTTTACATCATTATTATTTACATTTTTAGTTTTTGGATGCGGCTAGGGCTGTGCGGTATATGCGGTAGACTGTATGAAGTTGGCCTACGATAGAAATTTACCCTCTACCGTCCTGTCATCATTACGTCATCACACCTGTGTCAGCAGGGCTCTGAGTGCAGAGACAACTGAGCAGGCGTTTGAAATGTAACGAAGAAATTCTAGTGTTTTAAAACACGTTAAGAGAGAATAAATCATCAAAATTTCCTCTTCCCGCTGTAGAAAAGTTACGTCGTGTCGTAGGATCATTTCCTCCCTCCAGCTCCACGTCACGCAGAGCGAAGCTTTAACATTTGTAGCTTTTCACACCCAATTGTCGGAGAAAAAAAGTTTTTTTTATGTATTGTTACCCACAGAGATTATATATTAAAAAAAGACATGGATATTTGTTCAGTCATAAATCCACCTTGCTAATGTAAAGTCAGCTTCTGCTCTGATGATGAAGATGAGCGCGCAGCAGAGCAGCAGCTGATAAGTTCAGCAGGCAGATATTAAACCAAAAATGTTGGGTTTAATTAAGATTACAGTTTTCTGAAAAAAATGCTCTAAAAATTACATTATCTTAACTTTTTATGATAATTTTCTACCGCGATATATACTGTTACCATGAAGGGGTTCAATTTATACTGTGATATGAATTTGAGGTCATACTACCCAGCCCTAGATGCGGCTTAAAATTGTCTGTTTTGTTAATTTTCTGTGTTGCATTGACTAAATATGTCTGCCCTCTCTTTTCTACTTTTCTCCCTGCTTTACATTTCTCTGTGTTCATAGAAGAAGGACGGAGAAAGAGGGCTGGACAGCTAAGAAGGGAGTGAAGACGCCTCAAAACAAGGACAGCTTCACTTTCACAGTTATCCCCTCCCCCCCTTCCCCCTTCACCCCTATCCCATACCCATACAAAACTCTACCTGGTAGCCACAACACCCACACTCTCAAATAAGAGTTCCCATCCCTTAAGTTCTGATGGATCAGAAGGTTCATGGGAGAACTGCAACTCCACCCCCACCTCTCTCTTGTACTCCGACAGGAGAGCGAGAGAAGGATGGAGGGGGTGGAAAGAAAGAAGAGGAGGATGAAAAAAAGCGGGACAGAGAAAAAGAAGGAGCTGCAGCTGCCCCTGCCGATGCAGGTGGGCCAGGCGTCGCCAGCGATGACCAGTCTCAGTTTTCCGTCAAAGAGAGCAACTTGTCGGAGGGCAACGTCAAGCTCAAGATTGGCCTTCAAGCAAAACGCACGAAAAAGCCCCCGAAGATCTTGGAGAATTACGTGTGTCGGCCAGCCTTCAGGGCCACTGTGAGGCATACGGCTCGTGGAGTGGGTAATGCTCGTGGAAACCGTGCAGGGGCTGCAAGTGATGGCCCTCACAGTCAGAGCCAGAGTCCCTCAAAGGGCCGGGAAAAGGAGAAGAGTCAGAGCGTGAACAAAACTCCAGCTTTGTCATCATCAGTTCCTTCCGCTAAGGTTCCTGCACCTCCTCCTCCTGCTCCCACTACCATCACTAAAACGCCATCACCCTCCCAAGTGAACGGGAGTGCTTCATCCAAAAGGGTAAGGAAAGCAAAATCTGTCAGTTTTTGTATTTTAGTTTCACACTTTGATGACATTTATGTTCTGTTTTGACTACAAAGTTGTTTACCTACTTTACATCCTTTGAATATTTTCACTCATTGCTAAGGCAGCAGCCCATAACAAAGCTGCCCTCATAATTACTGTGTTAGCGCACAGATAAAGAGCAGGGCATAAATTGTTCTTTAGTTTTCTTTGTCTTCTCGATTGGCCTGCCTCTATTCATCACGGTTCACGCTCTCCTTTCTCCCTGTCTGTCATCTGTCCTCTGTCTCTGCCTAGCTATGTCCTCTCCACACCCCCACCGCCCCACCCATCCCTGCATGACCCCTCTTACTAGCTCTCCCTCTCTGTCCCCAGTCTGACCTTGTGGAGTAACTCCTCCCTCTCTTCCTGGTTCTCAATGTGCAGCAGCAGTGGTTTGAAAGTTGAATTAATGAACTGAAACGAGCAAAAATGTGCTTTTGTATATAGGCTGGTGGGTTTGAATGTGTCATGTACTTGCTGTAAGTTTGACTCTCCAAAGTAGACAAAACTACACCCATATAATTACAGATTTAGTAAATTAGGCAGTGTATTCCTAAGAAATACACAGTCCTATCCTGCCCAAAGTATATTCCTTATTAGATGTTGTTAATTACTTACTGTGTTATTATTTTCTTCATCAGGGTCAACCAAAGACAGATTACAAGTCAGATTCAAAGTCTGATACAAAATCAGCTACTACCACATCTGAAAGACCCCTTAATCTTCATCGACCTCCGTCAGACAACAAACTGCATTCTTCTGGGAAGAAAACGCCAACTCCACCAACAAACCCACGGACATCTTCACCTCCTTCACCTGCACCTGCATCAAAAGAACCAATATTTGATGGTGTTAAAGCTCCTCAGTACACTTACAGCACAGAAAGTCAAAAAGACAAGGACAAGGGTGTTCAGAGTTGGGGTGCACCGACAGTAACTGAGAAATTGGCCCAGCTTATAGCAACCTGCCCTCCATCAAAGATCCCTAAACCCACAAAGACTGATCCCAGTCCTACCCTCCAAAGTTCAGGATTTATGGCTCCCACAGCCAAGCAGCGTGACAGGGCTATGGCCAATAGGAACACATATTCAAGAATGTTGCACCTTTCTCCTCCTCCCCCTGTGTCAAGACCACCTGGTCGGCCTTACGGTTCTAGGAACAAAGACGGTGTTTCAGAAAATCCATCCATCCTGATGCAAGTAAGGAGGGAGGACTCAGATGGGGCTGGAAAAGCTATTATTAGCAGCGGCAACAACAGCATTAACATGAGCAGCAGCAGTCGCAGCAGCAGCCCTGCATTCCCTTATAATCGCCTGTCATCTATGTCAAAAGACAGCAACAGTGAAAACAGCAACAGCAGTATTTCTAAGCCACAGTCGCGTCCTGCTCAGAGCTCACCCCACACCACGTCTTCCCCATTTTGCCCAGTTTTATCCTCTTCCTCCATTTCAGGCGAGCAGAGGACAGTGAGTGCAGTGAGTCACCTGGGCTCACCTGTGCCCTCACAAGGACACCATGCTCAAGAGTCTCCAGCTCTGGCAGAGGAAAGTGGTGCAGATGAGAAGGAGCAGGACAGAAGTCCCAGAGACTTAACCAAGTGCCCTCCTTCGGTAGTAACAGGAAAACCAGAGGGTAAAGACAGGGGAACAGGTAATCAATCACTGCGTGTTGAGAGGGGGAGAAGTTCTAGTCCAAGTAAGCGCAGTCCCAGCAGGGATAGTAGTCAACCAAGCCGAAGTACGAGCCCTCCTGAGCCTGTTAGACAGAGGGTACCTTCTCAGTCTGAGCCAGATGATGACGATGGTTCACAGACACCTCTTAGAGATGATTCCCCTGATTCATCTCTTGACTCAAATGATGAACAGGACAGTAAACCCCTCAAAAAGCGCAGAGGCGGTAAACCCTGCTGGACTCATGTTATGAACAAGATACAGAATCAACAAACAGATCAGGGCAGTCTCTTCAGTGAAAACAAAACCACCCTGCCTTCATCTGCAAGCTTAGAAATACCATCGCCACCAATTAAAAGACCTGTAGGCAGGCCGCCAAACCCAAATAAGGTCAAACCAAATCTCGTGCCTCAAAATTCAGTGTCACAGCTTTTTCCACCTCGACCCAACAAAAGAGGGAGGCCAAAGTCTAAAATGCCCAGACTTGACGCTCCAGTTCCTGGTAACACTTCCAATAAGCTAGCCTCCTCCAAAGTATTTTCATCTTTGCTAAAGTCCAAGGAAGAGCAGGATCCACCTGTGCTTCACCCAGAGGTGGACTTAAACCCTCCTAAGCCTATGCCTAGAAAACGTGGACGGCCCAAGCGACTACCTCCTACCTTACCCCAAGAAGGTCAGCCTCCCACATTAGCTCCTGAAGCAGGAGACATAGACAAGCGGTTTCGCAGCAAAGGAAACGGGCAGCTTATTATGAGAACTATTATTGGCAAGATCAATAAAATGAAAAGTGTGAAGCGCAAACGATTTCTAAGTCAGATCCTTTTAGGCCCAAGAACAGAGGAAACTCCTAAAAGCAGCACCAGTGCAGTGGTAAGCTCTGTGGAATCTACAACACAATCATTATCCTCCCTAGCTGCTTCTTTTGGGAGGAAATTAGGGCCACAAATTAACGTCAGTAAAAAGGGGACGATATACATGGGTAAGAGGAGGGGCCGTAAACCAAAAGCAGTGGCCACAGTGTCATCACCAGAACCCTTTCTGTGTCCAAACACCACTTCCCCTCTCCATCATCATCACCATCATCATCCGTCTCATCATCAGCTCTCCTCGTCAGAGGTCTTTCCCTCTCCCTCCCTCTCACAGTCAAGCGGAGGCCACAGTCCTATCAGTGATGCTAGCTTTGTGGAGCCCGGCTCAGTACACTTTTCAGGTCACTCTCACTATTCTAGCTCCCATCATAGCCACAACACGTTTTCCTTCCCTCCCCCAACCTTTTCAGCCCCCAACAAAGTCTTGGGTTCTTCGTTATCTTCTGTGGCCACAGCAGCATCCCAGAAAAAGCTGTCTTGTCGTGGCTACCCTCACCACCACCATCATTACAGGCAGCATTATCATTATCATAAGCTTTCTCCTCCGAGGCCGCTTCACCCCACCTCCCCAGCTCCCCTCAGTGAGCTCAAAGAAGCCACTCCATCACCTGTCAGTGAGTCCCACAGTGAGGAGACAGTGCCCAGTGACAGTGGCATCGGAACAGACAATAACAGCACATCTGACCGAGGAGAGAAAGCTGGAGGGACTGGTGGGTTGGGTGGAATTGGGATGCCAGCTGGAATGGGATTATTAATGCCAGGTGTCATGGGTTCAGCACTTGCTCCGGGGATGGGCCTCAATTCCAGAGGCAGACGTCGACACTCTGCCGTGCTCATGGAACATCCCTCACCTTCTCCATCACCCCACGGAGCAAGGTCATCGCCTGACCTCCGGAGACCTCACCCAACAGCTCCCGCGTCCTCTTTACTGGGCCACAAAGAGAAACACAAGCACAAGTGTAAACGCCGCAACCACGGATGCCCCGGCTACGACAAGCTGAAGAGACAGAAAAGGAAACGAAAGAAGAAGTACTTGCAGCTGCGGTCTCGGCGGCTTGACCCAGACTTTCTCGCTGAGCTAGACGAGATAATTGTGATGCTGAGTGAAATACGGATAACACACCGTTCAGCAGGGCACAGGCTCAGCGCTGGCATAGGCATGGCACCAGGAACGACTAGAATGCCTGGGTTGGGGAACAGACCTAGTGGTGGAATTGGAGGTCCTAGTGGTCCGCCTCCTCATCACTATGTTCACAGGGACCTCCTGCCTACAATCTTCAGGGTTAATTTTGGCAGGTTTTACTCTCATCCTGCTTACTCATGCGACCCGTTGCACTATGTTCGTAAACCAGACATGAAGAAAAAACGAGGACGCCCTCCCAAACTGAGGGACTCCTTGTCTGAGGTTCCTTTTGTACCAGGACTGGGATTCCCACTGTCAAGTGGCGGGTTCTACCACCCTTCTTACGGACTTCCTTACTCCTCTGGGCCTTTGGGATTGGGCTATTACAGAGGCTATCCTCCTGCAAGCGCCCTGTATCCTCATCCACACCACCAGTCACCTCACACAGCACCATCCCACCACTCCCACCACTCACCATCTTTCCCTCCACCTCCCCCTACACCTTACATGCATCATCACCATCCTTCACATCTCCTACTAAACCCATCAAAATTTCACAAGAAAAAACACAAGTTGCTCAGGCAGGAGTACTTGGGAGGAAGAAGGTCCCCCGTTCTGTTCCCGCCCATGTCTTCTGATCTTTCTTTTAACTGGCACCATAAACACAAACACAGACACAAACACAGAGAGCGTTGCTCGGAGGAAGATAGGGAAGAAGCAGCAAGGAGTGGATCAGGGAGTCGAGCTGGTGCAGGTGTTTCTGACAAAGGAGCGTCAAATAAAGGAGAGCGAGTTGGTGGTTTGGGAATGGCCGAGTCGATACAAAGATGCCGCTTTGGAAGAGACCCTTCTGGCACAGCTGCCAGCAAACAAGCTGCTGCCACTTCTGCCAACTCGCCCTCTTCTTCCTCATCCTCATCTGCAGAAAGATACAAGCGCAAAGAAAGCTCCATGTCCTGTTTGGGACCCTCTCGGCTTACTCTGGACAGCAGCTCAAAAGGCCATCCAGTTGCATCCTGGTTCAGAATGGGCAGTTCTGAAGCAGACTATTCTCAGCTATCACGGAGCCACGTAGCTCCCGGTCAGGGCTCGTTCTCAAATGGACGGGCAGGAGACCCAACTGGCTGCTCCGACAGCGAGGATGAGGAGCCTCTCACTCCCACAGAGGATGTAGAAGCTCACGATTCTCCAAACCTTACAAATCTCTTTGCCTCCGCTCTCACCCGAACTTCACTGAAAGGAGGCCGGAACAGAAAAACAGAGATGGTCGCAGAGAGTTCCAGCTTCAGTCACGTGGATCGGCCAGTGAGGAAGGACCACTCAATGACAGCAGAGAGGAGAGAGTTAGGTGAGTCCATTTCTGCCAAAGTAAAGCTAAGAAATCTCTATGCCTACAACAGATAATGCATGGAAAACTAAACATCTTTGTTCAATCATTTTACAGCAATAATAGAAGCTAATCTGTAGCACAGTTGTAGCTAAAAACATGTATGCCTATGAGCTATACACAAAAAAGATTTTGACCCAAATTCAGTTTCATACTTTTAAAAAGGTACAAGAATCAGTTGTGTATCATATTTGTTTTCCAAAAATAGTTCAGTTGCAGGATTATTATATATCCTCTGAATTGGCTAATGCTTGATGAGATGTCGGCACAGCTGGGGTAAGAGTGGCACACTGCAGCAGTCAATCAGATCTAGCATAAACTCCTGGCTTTTGAATTTGGGCAGCAGATTTTTTTAAACACTGTCATGTGGCACAGCAAGTGGGCTCTCAAATTCTGCTTCATCTCCACACATAGACATGTGTGTCTCATGGAAACTCCTTCATTTTGCTCTGAAAGATTGTGCTGTGGTTAGCGCAGGAACCATCCATACTTAAGCTGTGGCTACAAAAAACATTAATAAATTACAAGTTCTCCATTTGTTGCCCTTGGAGTTGTCTGCCCTCCGAAAGTAAAAATAGGAGTTACTTTATCTGAAAGAAGACACTGTTTCATCCCCTGTAGATGCTACGTCAGACGTTTGGTAGCTTTTACTTTGTCTACTTTCTTGGCGAAGGAAGAATGTGTGATTACTTTAACTGGATTTTCTCTGAGGTTAGAGGACCATAATTTGCCACAGTTGATGCAGCACTTTTGTCTTAGATCATGTTACTGTAGGGGTGGAATATTTTGTTAACCTGATATTTTTAGAAGTCCTTTTTTTCCATCAAAAGCCCACAATGTGAGGCCTAGTTCTATCCAGCAGTACACCCAGCACCTGGGCTGAGTTATTGTTGCTGATATAAGGCTTTGCTCCTCAGCAGTAATCTGGCTTTCTGTTCTACACCAAATGCCTTTTAGGAGGAAGTGATGCTTTATACTAGAGCGCTGGTTTCAAGGGATGTTGAATAAGTATAGTCAAATGTTAAACATATATCTCAGAGTAAGATGAGATGCTAAAAGATTCTTGTTAAGGTAGTGTGATGAAGTTCAAAACAAGCCAAGTAATCCCGGATTACAGCGGGTCAAGCAGCGTTCACAGGCAGAATGGTGACATTAGAGGTCAACAGTGGAGAGTCTGAGGAACTGGCTGGCACAGAAGACATGTGATGAGTGACAAGCAGATAAACGACGGGAGAGAATGTGTAGAAGCTGCTGTGGGAGAAAAAGTCAGAGAATCAAAGGATAAATCTTGGTGGTAGCTGGACTTTTAGTAGTTTTTCAAAAAGAATTTGAAATAATACAACAGCGATGTTGCCCACATTTAAGCCGTTTCTCTAACATTAACTGCATTTGTTACTTTTCTTTCATGTGCACAGACGTGAAAGGGATAAAAAGTGCACATGTTGTGTATGTTTCATACAAGCAGTTCAGTTCATGAAGTAAAATCTCAGTTTTCTCACTTTTTGTCAGTGTGGCAAGTGTTTAATGGTTGTTTTAAACATGGCAGCGATGGATTAAAGCAGCTCAGAATATAATTTCTCTACACGCTTAAGATTACTGAGCAGTCATGGTTATTCTCCTGAGGGTTTAATTATGCTTGTCTGCTGACAAAAAAACAAACACTTTTTTTAAATTGATAAAAGATATCCGCTGCATCATCACTGCTATTTGTCAGATGAGAAGTGAAGCCACCACTCAAATCTCTGGAACTTATAATAAAATACTGTTTTGACATAAAAACAGCTGTTTTAAGCTAACAAACATGTTGCAATATGTTAAAGTAGTGGTGGATGATAGTGGGTTCAGCTCAAACTCTAGTAATCATTGTTGACCTTAAAGGAAACCATTATTTAACCTATTTCTTCTTATTCCTATCTCACATCTGCTGTTCATATATTCAGTTTCTCATCTATAGCACTGAGTCTGTTTCTTTTTTATTTTCAGGGTCATCGGGTATTCAAACAAGAGGTGTCCTGACCTCTGAAGGGACTGAAGGATCTTTACACCACCGGCAGCTGCACCACCACCAACCCTCTTTGTTTCACTCGCACAGCTCTCCTTCCTCCTGTCTTTCGCCTCCTCAGGACTTTTGCTTGGATTCCTCTTTGCCCCACCTCTCCCACCGGGCCCAGCCATTTAAGCGCAGCCTGCATCACGTTAACAAAATTCTGCGTGCCAAAAAACTGCAGAGGCAAGCTCGCACGGGAAACAACATGGTGAAAAAGAGGGGTCCTGGACGTCCCAGGAAATACCCACTTCCCTCCCCACCGCCGTCCCCTCCACCTGTAGCTGAACTGAATCAGGCCCGGCACAGAGATGGTGGGACAGAACGGCTGGCAGGACGAAGAGGTTGGGAGGTCAAAACTGTCTCAGATGCTATCGAGTCTGTCGTCCAGGGGCAACGTAGGAAAACTCAGAAGAGGAAACACTGGGAAGGAGATGAGGATGAAGAAGATGAGGGGGAGATTGAAGAAGACAAGGAGGTGGAGGAGACTGAGGAGCAAGTGCCAGAAAAAGAGGAGAATCCTAGTAACCTGGCTGCAAAATCCAGAACTGGGACAGGAAGCTGGCCTACTGAAGAAGCTCATCAGCACTTTCAGAGGTAAGTCATAATTAATTTAACTGTTGCTCCTTTATTCCTTCAAGTCTGATGTAACTGAAGTATTTAAGTATTTATATATAGAAAGATTCAGTCCATTTGATTTGACTTCTACTTTCAGCTCAGTGGAAAGAAAACCAGATGACCAGTGTTCCTCAAAGTGCCCAGGTCCCGTCTCCAAAGAACAAGCTGCACCTTTGCCCATCAACAACCAACGAGAGAAGAGAGCAGCCAGACCTCCGAAAAAAAAGTTTCAGAAAGCGGGACTTTACTCCGATGTGTACAAGACTGAAGAGTGAGTCACAACGACAACTTCTGCAAAATATTTAATCTTCTGATGCCGATACCCTGTACGGTTGTCTACACCATCGCTAAGCTGCTTTCTGACTTTCCTGTTCCTCTTGTGCAGCCCGCGCAGTCAGCTTTTACAGCTGAAGAAAGAGAAGCTGGAGTACATACCCGGGGAACATGAATATGGATTATTTCCTGCTCCGATACATGTTGGTGAGTTTTGATTTGGAAGCTTTTGGGCCTGAGGTTTTTACCACTCTCAACTCTACTTTTAATGTTTTGTGTTTTTTTAAGCCCTTAAAATGATCAAAAAAATTTCATCCTTTTAAAGAATTAAAAATGTAGATGCTTGCCCTAATTTTTATTTATTTATTTTTTGCTTTGTGTTTACAGGGAAGTACCTGAGACAGAAACGTATAGATTTCCAGTTGCCATATGACATCTTATGGTTGTGGAAACATGATCAGGTGATCTCTCTTAAACATAACTATTTGAATGTGCTCAGAGCAGAGTGATTCCTTTAATAATGGAATAATCAGAACATGTTAAAACTTTTATTTTTTTCTCTTTTGTATTTGCCTTTTTAGCTTCACAAGAGGCCGGATGTACCTCTTTATAAAAAGATCAGATCAAGTGAGTAACTGGCTTTATTCAGTTTTCTCTCTTTTTGTGCCAGTAATGCTGTTTTAATCCACAAGAAACCATAATATTTGGTTCTCTTGTTTTTTTTTTCCAGTGTTGCACTTGTTATCAGTTTTAGTCATTATTTGCAAAACAAGAACAGAAGATTGCGCAACATGTGGGAAAGGTGCCAAAAAATAGATAAGAATCTGTAACCTTCTGTTTATGTTTCACAGATGTCTACGTGGATGTGAAGCCTCTCTCTGGTTATGAAACAACCATGTGCAACTGTAGGTCTCCTGAAAACTTGACTGAAAATGGTTGTCTGGACGATTGCCTGAATAGGTAATATGAAAGAATAAATGCATCTTTTTAGTAGGTTTCCCCTCAGTCGATGGTGTATTTCAAATATCAGCACTTGATTTAGTTGTACTTTTTCCCAATAATTATTAAGTTTGGGAAATATTCCTCCTAATAGGGGACTTGCTGAAAAAAAATCTTTTGTTTCTTAGAATGAGCTTTGCTGAGTGCTCTCCCAGCACTTGTCCATGTGGTGACAAGTGTGACAACCAGCACATCCAGAGGCACGAGTGGGTCCAGTGTCTGGAGCGATTCCGTGCTGAAGGAAAAGGTTGGGGCATCCGCACCAAGGAGTCTCTCCGCTCCGGACAGTTCATCATTGAATACCTGGGAGAAGTGGTGAGCGAGCAGGAGTTCAGGTGAGATGCGTCCATCTCTTTTTGTTATTCAGAAATGTGATTGGAAACCTCTCTTTTAACCTCCCACTGTTTCATATCGGCCACATCGCAGGAACCGAATGATGCAGCAGTACTTCTCCCACAGTGGCCACTACTGTCTGAACCTGGATAGTGGGATGGTGATTGACAGCTACCGGATGGGCAATGAGGCACGCTTCATAAACCACAGCTGTGATCCAAACTGTGAGATGCAGAAGTGGTGGGTGTCATAATAGCTTCAAACTAACTCCCTTCTGATGTTGCTTGGTGGTTTGGGGTTCTAAATAAAAAAATAATAATTTGGTTAATTTCTTTCTAAACAGAAGCTTGAACAACTACTTTTAGAGATTACAGATTTAACCAGACCTGTTTTAATTGTTGTATGATCATAAATAAAAAATACAGTTTTCAGTATCCTGCTTTGCTGTAGTTTACTGTATTAAAAAAACACAGTCTGATTTAAATTACTAAACTTTTTATGGCCTGGGATGAGTGCAGTTTCAAAGAAACAGATTGGAAATTGTTCCAGCTAATCACCATTTTGCTTTCTAAGTGCCTATAACACTTAAAGTTATTAAACTGGAAAATAGACTAGTCTATTACCTGACTCGTTTTGCTAATTGATTCTTTGTTTGTGTGTGATTATTTGTTTGATGTTGGTTGTTTCCTGAGACAAATTGACTGAATAAAAATGGCTAGCAGTTGACATGGTAGAAAAGCGTTATAAAAAATAAGCTGAAACAGGGCCATCCAAGACAAAAAAATATTTTGCACCCTGCTGATTTTAAAACGGTCATGTGTTCATTGGAACTGAAAAGGTTTTACCTTGAAAGGCCAACCCTGTTAATGCGTTTGTGTTGTGGTAATCTGATGAAGTCGCCTCACTTCTTGCCTGTGCTCACAGAGCTAAATGGCTTAAAGTCACCTGCACTTTGCCAAAACAACCCATTGGTTTTCCAAGGGGTTGTTCACGCAGCACGGCTGAATTAACAGCAGCTTAAAACTCGTCTGAGCAGACCTTGCACCATTTTACTCTGAGGATTTAACTGTTGTGAGCCAATGACCTCCAACAAAGACCAGCTCAAAATCTAGGGCATCAGCCTGTGTGCAACATACAGAGGGGCTCAGCTAAAAAAAAAAAAAAAAAATTAAAAAATAAAACTTCCACGAGGATGGAGGATTTCCAGCACAAAGCCTGATGAGTCATTCATCTTGTCACAGAAGAGAGATTGTATGCACCCCAGCCTTAGATACAGAGAAAGTGCTTGAAAACAATCTGCTGAATCAGCTTTTTGCCCCCGTAGAAAGAATAAATTACCAAGCGGCTGGCCAGCAGAATAGTCTCCTTTATTCTCTGTAAAACAGTGAAACGCTGTGGCACTGATTTGTTTAGAAAACAGAAAATTCAGATTAAAATATGTTTATTTAAAAAAATGTTATATATTTTCTGCTAAAAAATGATGACATTTTAATGGGTCAAAATCTGCCATAAACCTCATGCAAGAATTATTTCACATTTCCTTTAGAAATATTTTCCCCTTTAAGTTATATTTCACCTGTTTCTGATGTTAAAGGGTTTCTTTGGTTTAAAATATTCAAATAATTTTGCTTCTGCCTTGCAGGTCAGTAAATGGGGTGTACAGGATTGGTCTCTTCGCTCTCAAAGACATCACCAGCGGCACTGAACTCACCTACGACTACAACTTCCATTCCTTCAACACTGAGGAGCAGGTGACACTAATGAATATTTTAACCTGGGATTTTCAAATGTTTTCTGCCTAACGGAAGCTAAAAGGAGTTAATGCCTCACTTCGCAATTTCTAACAAATATTAACAGTTATAGGGGAAGCAATTCACAAAAAAGCAGAAGATCCAAGTTGAGTTTTAGTGAAATGAAGTTCAGCACAATGGCTTCAACAAACTTGATCATTAATCTGACCTAAATATGAAATTAACCTAGATTTGCTTTCCGCTGTTTACAGAATCTTCCACCTTTTTCAAATATGTATTTAATGCTTGCTCTATATTACCAAAAACCTGTTTGTCGCATGCTAAATTAAATAATGTTTGCTCTGCTCTGCAGCAAGTGTGTAAGTGTGGCTCTGAGAGCTGCCGGGGGATCATCGGAGGGAAGAGTCAGCGTATAAACGGCTTGCCTGGAAAATCAGGGGGCGCTCGGCGGTTGGGTCGACTCAAGGAGAAAAGGAAGTCAAAGCACCAACTGAAGAAAAGAGTGAGTGACTAACATAAATAAAGGTTTTTGTTTATGTGAGATGTATCCAATTCAAGTTTTTTTTTCAGATTCTTTTTCTATTTAGGGTATAAATTCTCAGTTATTAGACCTAATTAGAAGTATCTAAAATAGTAGACTTTTTAAATAAAAAATCATTTCTATGACTTGAAATTTACTTTACAGTTGGTCTGCATTAAAAATGTGGTTTTACGTTTAATCTTTGGAGTTGTCAAATTCAGACAGATTTCAAGAATAAAGGTTGTTAAACAGGTTGTGTTTTCTGTAAGGTCAGACCTTGTTTTAATACTAATTTCATTTTAACTGCAGGAGGAAGAGTCAAGCGACAGCAACAAGTTTTATCCACATCTTATGAAGCCCATGTCTAACAGAGAGAGGTAAAAGGCTTACGTACATAATATTTGTAAAAACAAATTATTTCACTGGAGTCTTTACTAGACTAAATATTTGTCTGTTTTTAAGATTAAGGTAAATTATAAATTCATACTCGTTTTACAAATATTTAATAAAATGAGATTACAAGTTTGTGTTTGTTTTAGTGCCCGAGCTGACCTTAAGCAAACTTCACAACAAATGTTACGCTCAGTTAGAACATCTGTCAGTTTTATGTGCAGGTCTGGTTGCAAACAAAGGTGGAAATTTATGTTTCGCTGTCACTTTAGAGTGATTAAACTGTGCAGTAAAAACCCTTCAGTCTCTGGTTCCAAATGTAAAAATAAAAGTCCAGCCAGACAGTGCAAACAAAAAACACATCCTTAACACAGTTTTTTTTTCTTCTGCCACCACCAGAAACTTTGTGCTAAAGCACAGAGTTTTTCTTCTGAGAAACTGGGAGAAGATGAGGGAGAAACAAGAGCTGCAGAAGAGAGAGGGTGAAAGAGAGAGGGACGCCAGCAGCCTGTCTGTGTACGCCCGCTGGGGCGGAGTTATCAGAGATGACGGTAACATCAAGTCAGGTGAGTCCACAACCGACCAGTTTAAAGACACTCTGAGGCAAGACATTAATTCTATGTATAATTTTTCTTTTCACTAATTAACCTCGAATAATCCGAACGCTCGCCTTTTCTCTCTAGACGTGTTCCTGACGCAGTTTTCAGCTCTGCAGACGTCGCGCTCAGTACGCACGCGGAGACTCGCCGCCGCCGAAGAAAACACGGAAGTCACTCGCACAGCACGCCTCGCACACATCTTCAAGGAGATCTGTGACATGATCACAAGCTACAAGGGTTAGTGGTGTGAAGTCCACAATATGAACCAAGGTGCAATCATCAGCCGTAACATCTTGACCACAGCTGGAGGGAAATGCATTGATTCATTGAAGCAGAAATTGAACATTTTGTCTTTGTGTCTCAGGTAGAAACAATTAGATTAAGATTTTTGGAAACTTAAACAAAGTTAAATATATATATTTTTTTATTAGTTGGAAGTCAGTGAAGTGATTATGTTTCACCTCATTTGAGTGCTTTCAAACAGCTATAATCTTTATTTTAATCTAATTTGATTTATAAAACAAAGCTTTCCGCATCTCCACTATCATCTGAATACAACAGGTTTTATTATTTTGTTTTGCCACAGACTCATCTGGTCAGATACTCGCAGCTCCTTTGGTCAACCTCCCATCCAGAAAAAGGTGAGACACAAACACTGATATTAGCCGATTCATTCATAACGTTCCTCTGTTCTCCAGGAAACAGTGTTGCTTTATCTCGTCTGTGTACAACACCCACACAGTGTAGCAGTTTTATCTTCACAACACATTTGAGCCGTGACAGCCTGCGTGTGCGTGAGTCCTGGATTGATAGTAATCAGCTGGTGTCAAAACAGAAACAGCTTCTTTTTTTTCAAGCTGAAGCTTTCACTGGCAGAGTTTCAGTGATTTTTCTTTCAATCTGATGTATTAACTTTGAAAATGGGTTCCAGACGGGATGGAAGAAGGCTGATTGTGTTGTTTTTGTGTGCCAACAGGAATAGTCAGTACTACGAGAAGGTGTCTGACCCTCTCGACCTGAGCACCATTGAGAAGCAGATTCTCACCGGCCATTATAAAACCGTGGAAGCGTTTGACACAGACATGCTCAAGGTGTTTCGTAACGCAGAGGTAAGATTTAATTTTGGGAATCAATGTTAAGAATAAAACGTCTTGGCTAGAAGAAAGATGAAACTAGTTAAATTTTTCTAAATTTTCTTTAATCACGTTTTAAACTTTACAGTCAGTGTTGGGTAATTTATGTCAGCAATCATTAGAAACTTAAATATAACCATAACAGGATGAATTCATCATCAGACGTTTGCGAGCTCTCTCAATAAAAGGTCTAATCAGGCTGATTGTTTGAGGTGGCGCTGCGCAGCTCATCCAATCAGTGCGTTCCGTTCCCACTATTTCTCTCACACAAACACGGCTCCCAAATGGGATTTAACGTCTCGCCTGCTGATCCTCTGCGCACACGTGGCCGGCCCTTTTTGATTTACATTTGTATAGCGTCGCTGTTTAAACAAGTGCCACTCGAAAGCTCTTCAGGGTCCTACCATCAAAAGGGGGCTTGAAGTGGTTGTATAAATTAGAGTCACCTCTTCTCACCAAGATCTTTTTTTGTTCGTTTAAAAAAAAAAAAGAAGTGAGAGGAATGTGAGAACTGGGCTGTGGGAAGCTTTACATTAGAAAACTGGATGACTTAATAATTCGTGTCATTCTGAGGCTTTTATATAAAACGAGTGTGTGCACGATGTGTTCTAAAATACAGTATCAAAGTGACCAAAATATTTTTTTATTCTTCCATTAAAACAAACAAAAAAAAAACTGCATTTATTGTTTGTTTATTTTTAAACGTGTGTTTTCACCAGAAATATTACGGTAAGAAGTCATCCGTAGGCAGAGACGTCTGCCGGCTGCGGAAGGCTTACTACAGCGCCCGTCACGAAGCCGCGGTCCAGATCGACGAGATCGTGGGCGAGACCGCCAGCGAAGCGGACAGCTCGGACTCGCTGGAGCGCGACCACCTCCACCACCACCACGGAGGAGGGCCGGGGTCCCACGACAAAGACGACGACGTCATCCGCTGCATCTGTGGAATGTACAAAGACGAAGGCTTGATGATCCAGTGTGAGAAGTGCATGGTGAGTGGTGACAGAAAAAAACATGACTTGTTTTGGTTCCCGCTGGCTGAAGGGCTGCGCCTGTTGGACTAATTTCTCCCGAGACTTCACCTTGAAGTGTCCTCATGAGGTTTTCCAAGGGGAGTGGGGAGTCAGTCCTCTGTGCATAGGATTTATTTTTAGATATAAAAAATAATAAAATAAGGAGGCTTTCAATATTGATGGAGCTCGAGTTCAGAAACAACTGTGGTTGTGTGAATCACTCATGCAGGGAAGCGTGACAACACCAGCTGGCCTGTAATCTGTCCTGAATAATAGGTTTTATTTCTTTTTATCATTCATGTGTAAAATTGGTTTTGTTGCAGGTGTGGCAGCACTGTGACTGCATGCGTCTGGAGACAGAAGTGGAGCACTACCTATGTGAGCAGTGTGACCCTCGGCCTGTCGACAGAGTACGTCCAACCCTTTAAATTCTCAACAAAAGCTTTATTTATTAACATTTCTTCACAAGGAAAAAAAAACATATTGCTGCTTTTTTCCTCACCTGTGTTTCTGCTGCTACAGGAGGTTCCCATGATACCTCAGCCAAGCTACGCACAGGCTGGCTCCATCTACTACATATGTCTCCTTAGGGATGACCTGCTGCTTCACCAAGGTATGGAGCTTAAAGTATTTTAATGGTCCTGTCTCTGTAAAATGTGACTTTTAAAGGAGACCAGTTATGGGTCCTAGAAATTTTTATGGTATGTCTGTGGGCTATCCAGACCATGTTCATTCAATTTAATGCACAAAATAATTCTCAGATAATAAAATTTCCCATTTCTAGTTCTGCCTGCTCTGACTTCRGTTCAGAAGAGCTGTTTATGTTAATGAGCTCTGTTGGTAACGCCCTCCAAAAATCTGTTGACATTAACTCCGCCCTCCAAAGCCAGCATTTACGTTAGCATGGCTAATAATAGCAGAAGCTCCGTTGTACAACCATATGAGACCCAGAGGCAGAGTCGTGGTCGCAGCTTCTTTCTTTTTCTCTCCCTCCTCTGCTGTGTGCTCACTCTGCATGCTGTTACCAGAGCAGGGAGCAGCAGCGGTCAAAATACCTCAGAAACTCGAACAAATAGGCTTTAACAAGGCTTTAGTAAGTTAAACAATAGAGGAACATGAGAAAACGTGTTCATAACGAATGAAAATAAATAAATAAATAATGTCCATGCTGGTCTCAAACCCTGGTCTCCCACTCTCTGGTCCAACACTCTACCCATTGTCCTATTGGAGGCTTGTTGTGAAATGAGCTGCACATTACACAACAACAACCGTGACGGTTTTTTATACTGAGGAGGTGGAGCCTCACCCGGGGGGTTGCTAGGTAAGGGGCTGAACGCAGGTTCAGGTGGGTTGTCGTATGGCTGGTGACATCACAAAATGACAGAAGTATAAAACTTGTCATTAATATACATTAAAAATACATTTACTTACAGTAAATATGCCCCTGGGTGCATTTTTTTGGTCCTAGGACTGTTTTTTAAAGAAGTACATACCCAAAGTTGAGTAAAAAAAAAAACCTTTAAAAAGTGAATTTTGCATAATAAGGTCCCCTTTAAAAGTTTTTGAGTGTTTTGTATTTAAGAATCTAGTAGTTTAGTTTATCCTATTTGTTTAGTTATAGCAGGACTACTTGAAACAATGAATTGTGTGGTTTTGGCTGCTGCATCTGTTTGAGCCTGCCCTCGTTCTGTCAAACAGGACAGAAACATTCATATGGTTTAAACCAGAGGTGGTCCTCGGGGGGCCACTATCCTGCATGCTTTTTTGTTGTTGTTTTTTTGTTTCTCTGCTCCATCACGTCTCTTCAAACTCTGTTGAAGCCTTTTAATCATCCATTCATGCAAATAAAGGTCTTTGAGCAGGGAAACAACAAAAACATGCAGGATCATGGCTGGACACCACTAGGAAAATCTTAAATTTGTTGCAATGAAACTGAAGCACCTTGCCAAACTCTTTTTCTTGTCATTTCCTTTTGACTTCTGCTCATGTAGATGAGTAACCTGTGTGGTGCTGTGTGCAGGTGATTGTGTGTATCTGATGAGAGACAGCAGGCGCACAACTGAAGGGCAGCCTATCAGGCAGTCTTACCGTCTCCTGTCCCACATGAACCGAGACAAACTTGACATCTTCCGAATCGAAAAGCTGTGGAAAAATGAAAAGTGAGTTTGCACCTGCTGCACGAACAAGTCATAAATAAAACACAGGAAGGTCACTCGTGAGGAATTTGTTTTTCAAGAAATAATCTCCGGGGTTAGTATCTGTTTCATGACGTTGTTGGTTATTTTCTAAGGGGGGAGCGGTTTGCTTTTGGTCATCACTACTTCCGTCCTCACGAGACGCACCACTCTCCGTCGCGGCGTTTCTACCAGAACGAGCTGTTCCGCATGCCGCTGTACGAGATCATCCCCCTGGATGCAGTGGTGGCAACCTGCTGTGTCCTGGATCTTTACACCTACTGCAAAGGTGAGGAGAAGATGCTCAAACTGGAGCGATTTTTAGCAACGTGGCAACATTTAAACGTGCGTTCTTCCTACAGGACGGCCTAAAGGTGTGAAAGAGCAGGATGTGTACATCTGCGATTACCGCTTGGACAAGTCGGCCCACCTGTTCTACAAGATCCACCGGAACCGCTACCCTGTCTGCACCAAGCCGTACGCCTTCAACCACTTCCCAAAGCGGCTCGCGCCGAAACGAGACTTCTCGGTGAGCGAGCTGAGAGTCTGAACTATGTTTCTGTTTTATAAACATTAAACTAATCATTCAGGCTTGGAGGTCAAATTCCAGCTCATCATAGTTCTCTCATTGTTATGTAGCCTGCAGCAGATCTCTTGATTGAAGCTGGATTAACCAGAAACAAATGAGAAAAACCACACGTGCTTTTTACCTGAGGGGAAACCACAACAAATTACCGGCTTTGTAATTTTCTCACCTGTGTTAACATGTTTTTGGCTCGTGAATCAAGCTGATTGTAAATTATTTTTACAGATTGACAGAGATGATAAAAAGCTTTAAATCAACCATTAGTGAAGACACTCTTGGGTTTTAGGTAGAAACTAAAGTATTTTATTAAAAACGGTGCAAACACTGATGTGATTTGATGTTGTCGCAGCCTCATTATGTTCCTGACAACTATAAGAGGAACGGAGGCCGATCAGCCTGGAAAAGTGAGCGACCCAAAGAAGCGTCCGGCTGCGAGGACGACGGCTCCTCCTGCGAGCGCAGCGAGGACTTCCCACCTGAAGAAGAAGACGACGGAAGAGGAGCAGGGGACGACGTGGACATGGAGGATCCTGAACTCCTCTCAGCCAAGCCCAGACGACCCGACCGGGTAAGAAGAGGAGGAGGAGATGAGGACGACGAAGACGAGGAGGAAGACGAAGAGGAAGGGCTGGAGGCCGAAGTTCGCAAGGAGCTGGAGGAGAGTTCCAAGGAGAGGATGGACGAGATGCTGGAGCTGCCATCATCTTCAGCCTCCTCGCCTCTTCATCATCCAGCTCTGGGCAGGAGGGAGGCCCAGAGGGAACGACTCAATAAGATTCTGCTGGATCTGCTGCACAGAACACCCGGCAAGAACGGTGAGGGACCGGGAACAAAGCAGGGGGGTAGGTCAACACATTCATCTTATTTTTTTATATATCAGTCATACAGGTTTGATTTTTTTTATTTAGTTTTTTACTACTCTTCTCCATGATTAAGCTTAACATTGAGGGAATGAGGGAAATGTTTTTATTTTCATTCTTTTTATATATTTAGGTTATTTTATTGTGCAGCTTATATATTTATAGGGTATCTAAATCTGAATAGACACCAGTTACTCTCATGGACTAACAGAATAAATAACCCCTGATACAGGCAGCTCTTTGCTTTGAATCAGTCTAAATTGGCAGATTTGAAACTCGGGATTAAAAGGAGTTTTATTGATTGATGCCCTTAGAATACCAACTCTGTCAGATTTTGAGTTATGTGCAGGGAAAAAAAATCAAACCTGTTGTTTCCTTCATTGTTTCTGTGATTAAATAAATTTGTTTTTGTGCAAACTCCTCAGTCTTTCTCTCGCTCCTTTCCTGCAGCTATCGATGTCACATATCTCCTTGAGGAGGGAGCCGGCCGGCGGTTACGGCGAAGAGCGCTCGGATTCGGTGACTTCGTTGGCAGAAAATAACGTTTTTCCCTGCCCCTTGTGCACACTGCCTTTCACAGAGCAGAAAATGGAGACGCGGCGAGGAGGACAATGAGCACGGCCGGTTGTCCCACCATTACGGACCACAATGCATCCCTGGGGGGGCCCGCCTGTTCCAGCTTACCTCTTCTAAGACTGTCATCTCTATTTTTGAGAGGGTGGAGGAGGGGTTCGAAAGCGCCGACCTCGAGGCAGTTTCAGCTTGTCAGGAGTTCTGGAGGAGAAAGCTGAACCAGTCTTCTTTTATCTAAATAGAATAATGCAAAACCATTAAAGAAATGAACATAGGACAAATAACCCATGCACTTAAATGCATTGAACACTGCAAACATGGGTAGACGTTTTCCACTAGCAAGCATCAGTAATGAACAAATGGTACTGAATAGGGATGGCTTATAGTTTATGCTGACCAACTGTTCTCCTTAAAGGGATCTAGCTGCAATGACAGAAACACAACAAACGGGAGAAGCTTTGCGCCAGGATGTTGGGGCGGCGAATGTCATAGGAGAAAGCTGAGCGGTGGGCTCTGATGCGCTTTAGAACGAGAGAACAACGGTGGTGAACTGCACTTTTGGTACCATAGATATTGTGAAGCTCTGTGTAATGTATCTGTAACGAAACACACTAACACTCTCACAGTATTGGCTGCAGTCTGGTTTAAAAAAACAACAACAAAAAGGTTCAAAAGATTATTAATATTCTTTCATGTAGTAACTCGTTTAGGAACAAAAGAGACCTGTGGTGTGTTTGGTCCTGGGGAGGGAGGGGTTCAGTTTGCGCTTATGTCAAAGTGTCCTGTTGAATATTTTTTACTCAGTCGTGAGGCAGTCAGCTTCGCACCTCTTTTTCCAAGTAACGTGATTCACCAGCGTATCTAAATCAGGCGAGGAGGGGGTTGCCGGCTTTAGTAACGCCTTACACAGCCGTGGTCTCCCACTGCCTTGCGTGTGAGTGAGTGTGTGTGTGTGTGTGTCTGCCAGATTTTGTGAAAATATACCTTTTGTAAAAAAAAAATAATAATAACAAAAAAAAATTAAGGGCTCAATGGCAATTAGCAGTTTTAAGAAAACTATGGAAAACAATACTTAACATGAAATGTATCGTGATGGTCATATTTTCTTATATTCTGTGAGATGGGCGGGGCAGTATATACTGTATATTTCGAGGGAGTAATGACTTAAGATCTCCTTTTCTTGTCTTCAGATTATGTTGCCATGGAGAATGTTTTAAAAAATTGTGATATTTGACAAGATTTTCTTTAGTCCCCCTAAATGCTTCTGCTGAAACGGGACAGGCTGCAATGTCCTGGGGTGGAAAAAAAAAACAACCTTACAGAAACGATGAGAATGAGACACAAGATGGGGAAAAAATGGGAAGCTGTACAGTGCCAAGTTATGTAAATATACACACTTTACATTGAAGAGTGTCTCCAAAAGCAATATCTTGAAAATGGACTTTGTTTATTATTGTACTGTACAGAACTCAGCCCTAAATGTATTATTATTATTATAATATTATAATTTCTTCTGTTTGTTTTACTATAATGAAGACACTTAAGCTCTGAGGAAAATAATTTTTGTAATGTTTAGAAAATCTCACCATTAATGTCCTGATGACATAAAATTTAAGCTGAGTTTTTGTCGCCTATAAATTAATTCCAGCTGTAAACTGCATGTGCAAGAATGTCAGACGGACACCGAAGGCTTTGGGACGTGACGGTGACTCAGCAACGACACCTTTTGTCACAGAATTTTGTTAATAATATTACTTATAAGGAGAAATGTCCTTGTTTTCTTTTGCTGCAAAGTGTTGAACACTAAAAAAACAAACCAACATGAAAATGTTGCGATATTTTTAAAAACTGACAGGAAGAAAGGTAAAGCTGTCAGCACAATATCATGCATTATTATCGCTTTGTTTTACTTTCGAATAGGAAACGGTTCCGTTTTGTGATAGCGGTCATTGTATGATGCTTGTACTTGTATTTGTGTGTTTTGTGTGATCCGTTTAGTTATTTTTTAGACAATCACAAAATAAGATGCAAGCATTGTAAATGGCAGACTGGCGGACATTTTGTGATGTGTACAGTTTGTCCAAAAAACAAAAACAAAACAAAAAACAACCCTTCTTCCACTCTCGTTTAAAAGTTTGTAATTATGATTCTTAAGTCCTGAAAAAAAAAAATGCTGTTGGTTTTTACTTTTTGTTTTATATTTGTTTTTGTTTTTTTTTTCTTTGTTTTTTAATAAAAAGCACTACATTATTGTGAATATAATTGTTGGTCTTCTCTTAAAAACTCCACACATCATTCAATAAACAAAATCAAGAAATAAACATGTTTTCAAAAAAGAGATGTGTAAAATGTCACATTTTGATGTATAAACTCGAAGAACTGCGAAGTTTGCAAAATATCGCGATAAAATCCTAAACGAGATTCAGTGTTACCATGGAAACAGACGCCGGATGTAGCGATTTGGCTAACTTCTGTGCTCTGATAGTTTAGCGAATGGATTTAGATTGAATGTAAAGACACGACAATGATTAAAAAGAAACAAACTAAAGAGAAGACAAAGCAAGAAGATCAACCTTCGAAAATTCTTGGTTAGATGATTACTCATTAGTTGTGAGTAAAAGTTGCGAATAACTAGCGGGGTTGCTAACTTCCTGTTAGCTGTCAAAATAAAATAGAAAGAAAGAAAGAAATTTCTATCTTTATTCCAGCACTAGTGCAAATTACAAGATCAGGAAGTGTAAATAACAATAATTTCCATTTAACTAAAGATATAAATGTTAAAACTATGATTTAACATACAACAAAAAAAGTTGATTTCTGTTACTAAAGGTGTAGACATTATTAAAGTGCAAACGAGTAAGGTTAATTTAAAACTGTAGATTTTAGCTAATATACTGAAGTTATTAACTCTTGATTTATTTTGCAACTCTTTTGTTGTTCCGCAGGGCTGACAACAAATGAAGCAATCCCTGCACAGACTTTTGGTAAATGTCCTCAAATTGTTCATATGTGGTGTCATTTGTGGTTTGTTTGGTCGGAGCCTCATCCACTTCATTCTACAGATGAATATCAGTGCACGGGAAATGTGAAGGTCGACTTCCCTGTGCTTGGCGCCCTTCTGAACATAAAGAATATCCCATTAATCTGCAGCAAACAGCCAGATGTTTGCACTACTGCAACTGAAGAGGACCCAGGTAAGCAGGAGCTAGTCCTGTCCTAGACAGAGAAGTGTGTGTCAGTCAATATCTGCTGCACATTTTTTAAAGTAACCCGTACATAAAAATTTAAATTTGGCCACATTGACTTATTTAGCAATTACGTTCAAATATATTTTAAGTTTTGAAAATTTAAAATCTCAAGGCCTTAGAGAAACTTGCTGTGACCTAATTTTCCCTTTCAATATCTTACCTCCTGTTTAGTCCTAATTAGTATCATTTTATCTGCAGGCAACAACAAGTCACAGATAAATGCTTCACCTCACTGGTCCACGCCGTGCATAAATGTTGAGCTGGAAAACGAAGACCCACTCAGTACCAAAAAGATGACGATTTCTGGTAAGGTCAAAACACTGTGATTATTATTAAAGTTATTGAAGATTATTATAATTATAATTTATACTTTTATACTTGCTGCCTTTCATTTAATTTTATCTTTATTATTATTTTTTTTTTTATTGTGCATAGAATTTTAAAAAAGAAAAAAATTGTGTAGGTCTTCTGGACGGGTTCTTCTCTAATGAAACGTTTCGTCTCTCCTCCAAGAGACTTCTTCAGTCTGAGAGTTTCAGGCAAAATTCAGGCTTTTAAGCACTGCCTCCATGTGACTGATACCCACATCACATGGCTATCGTTGACACCTAATTAACACCTATTGTTAACAGGGGGTGGAGTGATACTGCCAATAGCCGCGCTGTAGGAGAGAGACAACTGAAAACGGAGGCCTCCACCTCTGTTTAATGATGGACGGTCTTTCTTCACAAAAATGGCTTATTTTACTCCTCTCTCAAACCAACGTTCCTCTCTATCAAGAATGAGAACATCCTCATCTCTGAAAGAGTGACCGCTGGCCTGTAAATGAGTGAAAACTGCAGAGTTCTGGCCATTAGATGTAGCTCGTCTGTGTTGGGACATTCTTTTGAACAGTGGCTGCTTTGTTTCCCCGATGTATAACTGGTCGCAGTCCTCCTGGCACTTAACAGCATATACAACATTGCTCTGTTTGTGCCGGGGCACCGGATCTTTGGGGTGAACCAGCCTTTGCCGTAATGTGTTTTGGGGTTTGAAAGCCACTGGGACATCATGTTTAGAAAACTAACATCTCAGTTTCTCCGAAACACCCGCAACATACGGAATAACCACTGGTTTGGGTCTGGGTTTGGGGTCTTCATTTTCACCTGAAGGTTGCATGGAATCCTGTCTGTGTTTCCTGTCTGCTTTCAGGAAAGCCCAGTCAGGATAACCACACTGCTCCAGGGCCTGTCGTGTGTGTYATTTCTCTTTCTVCCTGYCTCCTGGGTTTGTAGGGACACTGTCTGCTCTGTGGTACAGAGTCCAGATCACTCCTAACTTGTGTTCCAGRGGGTGGTGGGAGTCAAAACGCATAGAATTTTGTTTTTTATGGAATAAATAAAGTTTGAAATCAAAGTGTATACTACCCGCTGTCTCCAATCATTTTACATTGATTTATACTGTAGTTCTTTTTATCAAACGTTGTTCATGTTATGGCGATCTCATGTAATATTGTGTGATCTTACGAGATGCGTATTCCTTTTTTTTTTTCATAATATTTTATTGACATAAACATGCCGCTCTTTGTAATCTCGTGACTTTGAAACACTAATGAATCCTGTCGTGGATTTACAGGATGGAAGGTGAACGAGCAGATTTTCAGAGCCATACAGAAGATGCTTCCCTCCATGGGCCAGCTGCTGAGCCTTCAGTAAGTAATGAGCAGGTGGAGATGGCTGCACTCTTGTTACAGCAAACCAGGTTACAGGCTGCAGTTTGGTTCTTGTTTGCTGGTGTAATCCTGTCCACTGCGTGGCAGGTTTTGGCAGGCGGGACTGACGGATCAGATGCTAATCTCCCTCACAAACACAGCCTCTCTGTGCTCCGGCCTCAGGTGAGTCGATTCGGTGTCGCTCAAACTCAGAGTCGTTCTGCATCAAGTTTAGCCTGACGCACGTGGTTTGGAGAGCGAGGAGCAAAATCTGAGTTCAAGCAAGACATATTTGCAGAATTGCGGGAAAAAATTCTTCTAAAATACAAATTATTAATCCACTAGATCTGTGACGCTGGAGGGGAACGCTCTTCCAGAGCAGAGCTTCCACCTGCTTCTCTCTGAAGGCAGCGTGTGAGTCACGCATTCACATCATGCATTAATAAACACTTTTCTTTGCATACTGGGGGCGCAGACATGCCCAATTCATGTCATGTTCTTTTTTTTGTCCTAGTCTCACCCACCTATCCCTGCGAAACAATCGTATCGGAGTCGAAGGTGCTCGTTTGATTGGTTCGGCTCTCTCCACCTCCACAACAGCTAACAAGAACCTCTTGTCACTCAACCTGGCGTTCAACTCCATCGGTGATGCGGGCGCTGCGCATATTGCCCGGGTAAAACCAGGAGCTAATTATTTATTCTGCCTGCGTTTTCCCCGTCGCACCTGCTGAGGTGTTGTCCTCCTGCTGCTTGACTTGTCAGGGCCTGCGGCTGAATCGAACTCTGCTGTTTCTCTCCCTGGCCAACAATCAGATTGGAGACTCGGGAGCTGCTCCTCTGGCCGAGGTATCTGTTCACATCGAAGACTTGAACTGAAAAAATACGGTTCAGAATGCTCTAAATTCTGCTCTGCTTTTTACGGTTTACACATTCCAAGATTCACCGGTCACTGTTTCCACTTTCAGATACTTGGCAAGTTTCCTTTAACTCATGAGGAAGTTGTGGAAAGAAGGAAGCTGCTCCTGCAAAGAATAAGTGTTGTAAGTAAAGTGCCACCGTGTTAGCTTTTATGCAACATGTTCAGAGGTAATTTGGGTCTGTTTTTTTTTTTTTTTTTTTGCAGTCTTCTTTTAGGGCTGATTTAGAGCAGTTATCAACTAGCCAGTTTGGCTCCACACACAGCATGTCTGTGAGCAAAGGAGACAACAAAGGCACATCCAAAAAAAAGGTAAACATTGTAAGACGGATGAAATGAAGCTAAAATAATTTATTCATATGCTCCACGAGAGCCTCAAAGGGATCGTTCAGATCTTTTGAAGTTGGGTTCTGTGGAGATTTTATGAATAAATAATATCATACATGTTGTAGATAGCTCTCCGAATGTCATCATTTTGGACAAAATTGCGCTGAAACGCTTTCAGTCTCAAAAAACGTCTCAACAGTTCACGCCAATACTAAACATTCCAGCAAGAATATCGAAACATTTCTGCAAGAAAATGTCAGAGTGGACATTAAATTACCCCTTAAAAAGAAATAAACCAGACACAAACGTAAGCATTCAGTTTTCAAACAGTTTTCTCTTTGCAAAGAGTGAGAAGTTTCTGAGGACGCTTAAAGACGGGTGTCAGCAGAAAGTTCTGACCTCCGCTGGGAAAAACTGTACAATTTATTACAAGCAGAGCACAGAGAGAAACATCTTGACCAATCACAGGGTTGCTTCTTATCAGTCATTGCAAGCTGCAGAGATGAAAATTATGGCAGCAAGAAAGACATTTAATACAGTTGATTAATGCAATAGGATCAAATATAAAAAATGATAAAGTTTAAAAATATCTATCAGAAAAACCGTTTAATGCAAAACTAAAGTTTGTGGCAGCGATCCGCTTTTGTCTTTTCTCTGCTCAGACACGCTTTTAGCTCATCAATCTGGTCGATAAACTGAGGTTGTTCAGAAAGCTATTTACAACAGATAAGATGTTATTTGTTTTCAATCTTACCACAAAATCTGTCTTTTTAAGGGGAGTTTTGTTGCATCTGTGAAGTTGCAGGAAGCTTCCGGAAAAGATGTAAAAACACCAGAAATGAAAGAAAAAATCCACAAGAAAGGTCGTTTTTAGCTATATTTTCTATATATTGTACTCTTGTGTGTTTTTTGTTTTTATCATCGCCGTCTTTTTTTTCTGCTCTACCAGCCCATGATGTAAAACCAGCTCAAAAAGGTGGAAAATTAGGGGGTAAAGATCATCAATCAGTTACACAAGAGGTACTTGAAGCGCTCGTCAAGCCTCTGAATCAGCCGTGCAGCAAATAGTTCAGTTTTTCATTATTTTTGTTTTGCAGGACAAATCAAGTAGTTCCCTGAGATGCAACATTGTAAGGAGTGACAGCATTAATGATGGATGTGGTCTCGTTCTGAACATGCAGTCAGAGTCAGTGGAGGCAGGAAACCCCCTGCTGGACCAGTCGGTGCATCACAAGAATGGGCAGCTGTTTCTGCCTGGAAACACAACGCTGGCCTCCCTGAACCTAGCAGGTCAGCAGCTGTCCTGATTCAAAAGCCTTTACAGTATTTGACTACAGAAATGAAATGTGCCCTTTAATTATCTGAAAATTATTCTGTGACAAGAATATTTCCTTTTAGTATTTATTCTACTTAAAATTTGACTTTGTGTGACTTTTTACTTTTCTTTTATACTGATTTAAATGTAGAAAATGGCATTAGTTTAAAATCTGGGGTGTATTTTTTGGGTTTTGAGTAAAAAAACTTAAGCTTTGACAGCATTAAAGTTGTGTTTGTCTGTCCAGGAAACAGAATCACAGAGAAGTCACTTCCTCTGTTTCTGGCTGCTTTGGAGACGCAGGAGGCGGAGGAACGGCGTTTACTTCGTCTCTGCCTGCAGGTGACTTTCTAATCAGTGAAGGGGCTGGCATTGTGTTTGAATAAAAGAACAACAAAAACAGGAATAACATTCAGAAATGCTCAGTAACTTTATTCAGAATACAGCCTTTCACCAAACAATCTGTGTGGTATTACCACGTCTATATGCATGTTTTACATTTCTGATATATTTTTAAATTATTATTTTTATTTATTTTAACAGAGAAACCTCTTCCCAGCAGAGTGTGAAGATTACATGAAGATAAAGGACATAATGTCTCTCACAAACGCTCTCTTCAAAACTGGCTCGGACGTGATGGAATAGGAGAAACCGAGGGCGTGATGCTGAACAAATAAACTACTTCCTCTTGTTTAATTATAGTTTTGTTTGTTTTATGAAACAGGAAATCAAGAAGTTTGAAAGCTATTAGTTTCAGCCCTGATGTGCACAGGTTTTGTGTCAGTTACGCTTGTCAGGACTTCAGCTCAGCTTTACAGAACACTGCAGAGAAATAAGAAAAGGTGAAGCATTTAAAGAAGACAGTATTCATTTATTTGCCTGCAACAACACACTTTTGAAATTTTATTTTGTTTTACGGCAATGACCCGTAATAAGCATGGGTTTAATTAACAGAAGCATTCCAGCTTTTAGTACATGTAGATAGAAACATTTTGTTTATGTTTTTTTTAATGATTCTGCAACAGTGAGTGCTGTTTTTTGTTTCTAATTTTACTGTATGACTGTGAATATAGTTATAACATATTTGATTACATTAATTGCACAAGTAAACAAATATTAATCATAGCAAATATAGAAAATGTCCAAAAGAAATAAAAAAAACATCCTCAATAGTCAAATTTGGGTTGTAAGTTTATTATAAAATAGATTAGATGCAACAACTAATAAGTATAAAAGAGAAAACATGAATAAAATATGTAAAAAAGTAATTAGTTATTTTTAACTTTATGTATTTGTGATGTAAACAATAAATCCAAAGTCTTTTTTTCCTAATATACATAAATGACCCATAAAGACTATATTTAACCCCACATAAACCGACTGGAGTTTGTACCTCACCAATATGGCTGCGATGTTGTGKGCGTGTCGTCACGTCCGGTTTATGCTCCGACCCACCACCAATATGAAGCCTCCGCTTCCGGTGATGCCTCCTTTTCGGCAGCGGCTATTTCCTCGCCAACATGCCAGTGAGTCTCCACATGCGACAAAAGCACATTTTAACAATTTCACCGAGCGTTGGGGCGTTCGTAATGGGTTCGGTTTTTTCAGGAGAAATGATAGAATCGAGTGGTGGGACTTTTACACGGTTTCGTTGAATTTAAAACGCGTTTTTAATCATTCTTTAGGCGCAACCTGGAGCGCGTTGTGACACAAGATGGCCGCGCGCACACCGCAAATATGAAGCTAGTTTAGCAGAGGAGCTAAAAACTAAGAAAACCGAGCTTTAATCATCACAAGATGTCTACGACGAGGATTATTAAGTCCACGCACTTATAAACGTTAATATTATTTTACAGAAGAGTGACTAAATGCGCGGTGTGAGTTATCAGARATAATAAATGTAGGCCGAGCTGAGCGGGCCATCGCAGCAATCCTGAAGAATTAAGTGCGCATTTTTATATCGCATTTAAACTTTATGACGACTTAACACCACTGCTAAAGAATGCTTAGTTTTTAATTTAACGCCAGTGTTAGGTTTTATTTTGCTCTGATCACGTCCGCTTACAATAATTTCTTAATTTTTCCCAATGCAGCTCGCAAAAGACTTGTTGCACCCATCCCCTGAGGAGGAGAAGAGGAGGCATAAGAAGAAGCGTCTCGTTCAGAGCCCCAACTCTTACTTTATGGATGTAAAATGTCCAGGTTTGTAGAGAAACCCATCTGCTGTTGTTATGCTTAAGTCTTTGATTGTTGTAAAAATATTTAACCAGTTTTATTCCCCCGCTGCAGGATGCTACAAGATCACAACTGTGTTCAGCCACGCTCAGACGGTCGTGCTGTGTGTCGGCTGTTCAACAGTCCTGTGTCAGCCCACTGGAGGCAAAGCACGTCTCACGGAGGGTCAGTATCTGTTGGAACACAACTCTCAGCTCCATCCGTGCAACTTAAAATCCACTCGTGCGAACAATCTCGGGTTGTGTCAGCTCGACAGATTAGTGGTTAGCACTMGTGCCTCGAAGCAAAAAGGTCCTGGGTTTGATCCCTATTTGGGACCAAGGGATGTTCTGTATGGACTTGGCATGTTTTTGTCTGGGTTTTCTCTGGGAAAAGCCACAATGATGCTGATATTATCAGCAATCGTTTTAGTTTTTGTTGGATTATAATTCTAACTAAAACATAACCCTGACTTGACCATGTTCTAAACATCAGTTATAACTAAATGATATAAAATTCATCTATTTAGGTGTTTCATAACATTTTGTTTGTAGCTAAAATGTAACGTTGGGGGGTGGTTGCTGCTGAAGCAGATTCTTTTTGCTTCATGATTATTTGATGAAGCTGGACGCACTGCTAAGTGACTGGATTTCCTCTGCCGTGGTCTTCCATTCTCATTCCAGTGCCAGATRAACCCTCAGTTAGCAGAAGAGTTGAGCTAGACCAGTGGCTCACCTCTTTCGAAAGCTGAGAACAAACACCCAATTATTATTAGTCTTCAGCGGAGATTTTATGCTGCTCATTCGTCGTAGACTAGTCAAACCGTTTCAGAGTCTATGTAAAGAAACGTGGAGGTGAAAGCAGTCGCCGCTGTGGTTTCAGCTCTGCTTGCTCTGCAGGGTTTTCTGTATCGTCAGCATCAGACTGACGCTCATTGTTTTCTCTGGCAGGGTGCTCATTCAGGAGGAAGCAGCACTAGTTGTTGTCCTTGGAACTGAACGGGAGAGGAGGGGATGGACCGGTTGATATCAGCTTCTAAAGCCTCCGAGACGGCGGCAGAGCCTGCGGTCGGATTTGAAACGACGACCTGAAGACGTGACGGGACAGCAGATGAATTTTTACTGATCGTGTTGACAGTTGGATCGTTGCTGTAATTCCACCCTCCAACCCTGTCTCTCTAAATAAAACATTTTGGTTAAACAGACTGTTTCCTGTTGGATTCGAATTGGTTTTATTAAAGCATCTTACCAACACATACCAAGTACCAAAGTCAAATTTTACAGCTGACAAACTTGAAATTCATGCAACTTTTATTAGACAATCAGAAAAAGTATGTTTACTTCTCACAAGCAAAAACATTTAAAAATAAATATTAAAGCTTAAGGTTTCAACCTTTCAATTTTTAAATTAGGATCAAACTAATATTTAATCCTATGAATAATACTGTAATCACAATTTGTTCTGTTCCCTGCTGGAGAAGGCTTCAGAAGAAGTGGAGCTAATTTCTACAGTTTCATTAATGCTACAGAAAACAGGTTTACATCAATAAAACGTTCATGTTCTGCTCAGATCTGCCCCCGTCAGGAGAACACTTCCTGAGCTCCTCAAGAAGCTTCAGCTCATCTCCCAGATGCTCTACATGTCTGCTCCGCTCACACTCGCCCCCTCRGTCTTCACCTCCCTCTCCCTGAGGAGGTGTCGGATGGAGGAGTTCTGCGTGGACAGGGTGCTGGAGAGGAGRGGCATCAGGCTCCTGAAGCCCTCCCTTAGCTCCTCCACGTGCTTCTCCAGGCTGTGGATGTGCGAGTCCAGCTCCCCCCTGCAGCCCTGCACCTCCGCCAGTATGTCGTACATCAGGCTCTGCATCTGGGTGGGGAACGATGAGTTTTATTTTTTTATTCTTTTTAAGACATGCGAGATGATGCCTTCACTTGTCCTCACCTTGCAGAGGTCTACAAGTGTGTTGCCCTGATCCGCAAGTATTCTCTTCTCCATCTTCACTCGCCGCAGTCTGAAGACAGAAAACATGTCGGCAAATATAGAAACTTCATTAGAGCACAGCTGTGAGAAACGCTGAACCAAAGAAGTACAAATTTAGCTCAAAAGTAAGGAAATTTGTGTTTGGTAGATAACATTTTTGTTGTAACAATGCTTTTTGTTTTGGCAAAAAAAAAAACAAAAAAAACAACTGGTACTTGGGGCTACCAGAAGCTCAAAACAAGGGACAATAGCAACAACAGATGGCAGAGATAAATTTTTTCATTTACGCAACCCACATACTCAATTCTACTGCTCATCCCACAAATGCATGTTCCTTACAAATGTGGCACCATTTAAAAGAGAAAATTAACAGACATTCCGATGGGTAAGATTTATTTCCAGGAAGCAGAATAATCTAGCAAACACTAATTTTCTTAATTTTTGTGCTAAGTGTGCTAAGTATGCTAGGTATGGCATTTGTTAGGTTATTATTATTATCATTATTATAGGGGGTACTGTAGCACTCTTAGTACCCCCAGTTCCCACTGCTTTAGTAGAAAGTAATTCTGTGATGTTTAAAAAAACAAAAAAACTTCATGTACTTCCATTAAGACACTTTAAAAAATGTAATGTTTTGGAAGCACATGTAAAAAAGAAACATATTTAAAAAAAAATCTAATCTAATTTGAACCCTCTTAACTCAGATTAATACTTTTTTTGCTTGCTGTAAAATTTCACTTTACAGAGGCAGATTTTGTATGCTTATATTTGATAATTTATCTCACTTCCAACAAAAACAACAACAACAAAAACAACAACAAAAATCTATTTCCTGCACTAATAAAAATTGTTTCACTAATTC